AGCCCAGTGGTTAAAGCGTTCGCTCGTCACGCCGAAGACCCGGGTTCGATTCCCGACATGGGTACAATGTGTGAAGCCGATTTCTTGTGTCTTGACATTCCAGTAACAAGTGAGCAATGGATTTGGGCTGGTTGCAGGGAGGGCATACCTTGTCGTAGTGCTTTATGTGCTAACGTAGTGAGGCGTGAGATGGCTACTTCAACTTGCCTTTCATTTGTGAAGGAGTCTTTATTACAGAGAAATATGTTGTGGCATAAACTACAACATCAATTTGGAGTTCAAGGATATATTTTGAGATCTATTCAATTTCTCTACCAGGATGTGCAATGTTCTGTCAAGGTGAATACTGACAAAACTGACTGGTTTGATGTTACTGTTGGGATCAAGCAAGGCTGTTGCTTGTCACCCACACTATTTTCTATGTATATAAATGATCTAGCAGATGCTTTAAGTGAACTTCAGTGTGGAATAAACATTGACTCTTTCAACATTTCATTCCTAATGTATGCGGATGATATTGTCCTCATCGCACCTAATGAAGATAACTTACAAAAGCTACTCGATTGTTTACATCAGTGGTCTACCAAATGGAAGCTAGCAGTGAATAGAGACAAAACAAACATCATGCACTGTAGAACAGCATCAACGCCTAGATGTGATATTCAGTTCAAATGTGGAAATGTCAATAATTATCGATTATTGTACAGAATATAAATATCTAGGAATGTGGATCAACGAACATTGTGACTACAGGAAAACAGTTAAAGAAATATGCAAAGCAGCAAACAGAGCACTTGGAGTTATTTTCAGTAAGTTCAACCATTTGGGAGGTTTAAGCCATGCAGTGTTCACAAAATTATTTGATAGTTATGTGCAACCAGTTCTTAACTATAGTGCAAGTATGTGGGGCATAAATATGTACAAAGAAATAAGTTATATTCAGAATAAAGCCTCCAGATTCTTCTGGGGTGTGAGAAAGAATGCCTCTAATGTTGCCGTCAGAGGAGAGATGGGGTGGAGAAGCCAAAATACTAAAATTAAAATTGAAGTTCTTCGAAGTTTCCACAAAATCATCACCTCCTGTGGAACATCTGTGTGTGCCATAGTCCATAAATGGTCATTTAAAAGAAAATCCTCCTGGGATTATAGGGTGTGTGAATTTGTGAAAAAAATAGATATTCATGGAAATATGGACGTTTTAGATTTTTGGGTCAAGGCTAAACGTGCCTCATTTCTCAAAACATGCCTTGAAGTGTTAGATACAAGAGACATGCAAAAGTGGTTCTCGGATATATTTAATGACAAAGGTAATTGCAATGGAAATAAATTACGAACATATAGGAAATATAAAGAAACTATCCAAACTTCTCACTATGTGAAAATGTCTCTACCCAGACAACAAATAAGTATATTAGCCTCATTACATTGTGGAAACCTTCCACTGGCTATAGAAAGTGGCAGGGATACCAAGCCTGTGACTCCGTTGGTAAATAGACTTTGTCAACTATGTCAGGAACAGTTAATCGAAGATGAAGTACACTTTGTTGTGGTGTGCAAATTCTACAATGATTTAAGGAAATGTTTATTTGATACATGCAATAATCAGTTCAGTAGTTTCTGTGAACTGTCCACGTTAGATAAATATAAGTGATTGATGAACACTGAATGTATCCAGCTAGAATTGGCGAGATGTATTCAGAAAATGTATCACAAAAGGTTGCAAGGTGTGCAATAACTATTCAATATGAATTTTATATGAACAGTGTAATTGAGTGTGTGATGTTATCGGTTATGGGTGTGTGTGTGGAGGGGATATGAATGTTGGTACGGTCAGAAGAAAGGATATGGAGTGTGTGTAGATGCAGGAATTTGGGTATGGGTGTATTTGTGAGTGAGGTTGAGTGTGTGTGTGTGTGTGTGTGGGTGTGTGTGTGTGTGTGCGTGTGCGTGTATGTCTCGAGTGAGGGGGTGGAGGATATCTGAATTTATCATTTAACTTAAGCATTTATCCATGACATAAGCTTATGACATAAAAACATGTATGTCATACCCCAATGACATAAGTATGCAAATTAGATATGCAAATTAGATAACCGGAAGAGCGAGCGGTTTGATTTGAAACTATATATTATAAGTGAAGTTACACCAGAGATATAATCAGATTACACAGAATCGTTGTTGTTACCGTTATTAAAGTTTCAATTATTCTGCAAAAGTCTGTTCAAGTATTTTGTTTAAAATAATCCGGGGAACTTTTTTTCTCAGCGAATTGTTTATTTTGGTTTACATGGCTATGGAAAACATGTATCACTACGCACGATCTATACGTAAGATTTCGACAAGTTGCTGATGTTAATGTTTAATGAAATTATTCCTTAATTTGGAAGCAAAAATGTGAAAATGATAAATAGAATTCATCACTCGTGTTTTTTAATATGGGAAATATCAACCTCGTCCCGTTAATCGGTATTTGCCTCGCCAAAGGCTCGGCAAATACCGATTAACTAAGACTCGGTTGATATTTCCCATATTAAAAAACACTCGTGATGAATCCTCTATTTATTATTATTATTATTATTATTATTATTATTATTATTATTATTATTATTATTCTTTATTGCAATGAATGCGGTGTAGAAACTAACACCGTTATGATGCAAGTGATCACTTGCTTGATAATCCATTTATTGTAACAAAGAAAGAAAGTGTTTAACATAGAACTATCTCCCTTCCTCTACATGGTGCTCACCAAATTAAGTTTATTTTTTTATTTTTTTTATTTTATTTTTTATTTTTTTATTTTTTTATCTTTATTCACATTTTTAAAAAAATACAATGTGTAGCATTTCATCAATTATACATTTAAGTTTATTGTTTGACTATTAGAGGAAGTAAGTAACTTGCTGACCAGGTATAATTAGATCAAACATAAAATGAGAAAGCTTACTGATCATGCTACAAAGACATATCATTGTTATAATAATTTCAACCACGAGCTACTGAGGAGATAATTCAGAATAAAAACAAAAATATTGACCCATGAAAAGATTAACTTTTATTATGTACACAAACTACTCCCGTCCGCATCGATTTCGGTCAAGCTCTACTCTCACAAGAGGAATCCAATTAGGATTGTCCCACTGTAGCTGTGGGTGTTGTCTTAGACAGACAGACGGACAGACAGACAGACAATAGTTTATTAGGATCTCACTTCTGTACATACATAAAATAACTTCTACAAACTGACAGTGATAGAATGTACAGAACCATTCAATAGAATTATGACAAATTATCATACAATTCATTCCGATATGCTATAAAGATGATGCAGTAAAAGGCTATCCATATAAAAGATGCTTCCTACGATTAAAGATTAAAAAACAGACTTTGGCAAGTATAAAACACACACTAGCATCGCTGAATATAAAACAAGGATTGTCGATATCAGGTTGATCTGGAAGATTCTGTGATAACCCATGATTAAAGGATGGATATGTACCTGTTTAAAAAAAAACAGCAACTTTTAATACTGATAATGTTTGTCTTGTTTAATTTGGATATGTCTCTGTTTTAAAAAAAACCCCAGAAACTTTTTATACTGATAATGTTTGTCTTGATTAATTTCATTCACACTGAACATGGTTTATTAAGAATACACCCTTCCCGTTGTTCGTACGAAACGTCATTCTGGAAAACATTCAATAAAACGTGTGTCATTCCTGAAAAAATAATGAATCCGAAAAAATGGCGAGTTTTGACGAACGCTACAGACCTGAGAACTGTGAATATCAGCGCGGTGGGGTTTAGTTAATCATTTCGACGATAGGACACTGTGGTCCGAGCGGTCTAACATTCTAAAACCATGTCAACATTTATAGCACCTAAAATGCTTCCAAAACATTGTTTTGTTAACGGAATTTTGAAAGATAATCAGGAACTCTTTGCTCAACTGTGAGAACACTGTGTGAGTCGGCCCTGCGTGAAGCATGTGAAATATATTCGCCGAGCCTTTCGCACGTGCACTGCGCACTTTGCCGACTCTGGTTATGAAATGCATGGCCCACGGCCAGTATACCATTAATTTTGGACCAACTCGAGCATATTTATCAATTACCTAACTATTACTTGCCCATGTTGATGGACCTTTTTTGAGCAAACATAGTCCTGATCAAGATAATAATAATTTCTGAAACGAAATGCTACCATATCATAAGTACTGTACAAAAACTAGAATGCATAGAGTAACATACTGTATAAAAATTTCATAAAACGTATTTCGCAGTTCATAAATGGATAAGCAATTAGTCCTGATGTAAGTTAATATTGAGTTGTTAATTTCATATCTTTTCATCTCATGTCGTCGTGTCAGAAGACAACATTCGTCAGCCATCCATGCGGACTTCGCGGGTTCGAATCCCGCTGGTGACAAACGTTTTTTCGCCAAATTGTTCTATCACCAAGGGATATGACAGAGGAAGAAAAAAACGTTTCCTCATTGCCAAGTGGTGTAATACTAACAGTTCCGTTAGTTAGACCACGGACAAAGGAGCCAGTTGTTTAACGCCGTGATATCGCAAAAAGGAGCCAGTTATTTAACCGTGATATCGCACAGTGCGGCATAATATATTTCACACTTTGGGTGAGTGGATGAATATGATTTTACGCCGCTTTTAGTGAGGTGAGGTGAAATTAGGTTTAACGTCGCGTCCAAGATTATTGCACTTATATAGCAACGTGCATGCACGTGTATGTGTGTGTGTGGCTGCTTGTACTAGTCCGGACTGATGCCGATTTATAGTGTTAGCTCACTGAGATACCATGCCGCAGTTTAACATGAATACCCCACTCAGACACAGTATACTGACTCCGAGCCGACCAGTCCTTGTTTTAGCCCCTTAATGCCGAGCGCCAGACAGGGTAACAACAAGTACAATCTTTTAACGTCTTTTTGTATGACGCGGCCCGGGATCGAACCCTGGACCTTCCGCTCTCCGGGCGGACGCTCTACCACAAGACCACGGAGGCGGTCTCCGCTTTTAGTAATATTCCCGCAATATCACGGCGGGTGACACCAGAACCACACATTGGAATCTGACTTCCTGTATAAAACTTCAACAAGATCCTGCGGTCCTAAGACACACTGAGAGTTTAACCTACTTTAAGTATGGTCAGTGAACTGCACTCTGATTCATCAGCATGAATGTATTCTGCATACACACTTTTTAGGAACTTGAACCGGAATCTTTCATTTTCTTTGAATTTACGTAAACTCATAAAACTTGTTGACAAATAGGATTTGCTCTCAAGCAAAACCTTGTCCGCCAATACTTCGTCATTGTTGAATTCTTTGTCAGGGCTCAATACAGAGGACGACGCTTTGAACACTATCTCAATGAACGTGGAGTTCACAATGTCGTTTTTATATGTGTCGAAACAGATGTGACCCATGGAGAGATATTCGCCGGCGCGAGTCACGCTGAAAATGCCGTTGTCGTCGCTGTTGATGCCACCGAAAATCACGTTCCTGTTATCTAGTTTCAGAGAGGATCGCCACACGAGGGTCCCGTCTGAAATAATATGTCTTTTAGAAAATAGTATTTTGTTTATTTGTTGAATCACAGATCCGCTGACAAAAGTTTGTTGTGCAGAGTTGCTTCCCTCAGGCGTACGAGAAACCTATCATCCTAAACCTACCTCATGCTAGTCTCACCGGAAGAACATGTCCCTAGTACCTCGTCGTAGTCTCCCCGGTAGAACATGTCCCTATAGCTAGTACCTCGTGGGTAGTCTCCTCGGTAGAACAGGTCCCTAGTACCTCGTGGTAGTCTCCCCGGAAGAACATGTCCTTAGTACCTCATGCTAGTCTCCCCGGAAGAACAGGTCCCTAGAATCTCATGCTAGTCTCCCCGGTAGAACAGGTCCCAAGTACCTTATGCTAGTCTCCCCGGTAGAACAGGTCCCTAACACCTCATGCTAGTCTCCCCGGTAGAACAGGTCCCCAGTACCTCGTGCCAGTCACCCCGGTAGAACAGGTCCCCAGTACCTTATGCCAGTCACCCCGGTAGAACAGGTCCCCAGTACCTAATGTCAGTCACCCCGGTAGAACAGGACCCCAGTACCTAATGTCAGTCACCCCGGTAGAACAGGTCCCCAGCACCTCATGCTAGTCTCCCCGGTAGAAGAGATCCCCAGTACCTCATGCTAGTCTCCCCGCTAGAACAGGCCCCTAGTACCTCGTGGTAGTCTCCCCGGTAGAACAGGTCCCCAGTACCTTATGCCAGTCACCCTGGTAGAACAGGTCCCCAGTACCTCATGCTAGTCTCCCCGGTAGAACAGGCCCCTAGTACCTCGTGGTAGTCTCCCCGGTAGAACAGGTCCCCAGTTCCTTATGCTAGTCTCCCCGGTAGAACAGGTTCCCAGTACCTCATGTCAGTCACCCAGGTAGAACAGGTCCCCAGCACCTTATGCTAGTCTCCCCGGTAGAACAGGTCCCCAGTACCTTATGCTAGTCTCCCCGGTAGAACAGGTCCCCAGTACCTTATGCTAGTCTCCCCGGTAGAACGGGTCCCCAGTACCTTATGCTAGTCTCCCCGGTATAACAGGTCCCCAGCACCTTATGCCAGTCTCCCTGGTAGCACAGGTCCCAAGTACCTTATGCTAGTCTCCCCGGTATAACAGGTCCCCAGCACCTTATGCCAGTCTCCCTGGTAGCACAGGTCCCCAGTACCTTATGCTAGTCTCCCCGGTATAACAGGTCCCCAGAACCTCATGCTAGTCTCCCCGGTATAACAGGTCCCACGCACCTCATGCTAGTCTCCCCGGTAGAACAGGTCCCCAGTACCTCATGCTAGTCTCCCCGGTAGAAGAGATCCCTAGCACCTCATGCTAGTCTCCCCGGTAGAACAGGTCCCCAGTACCTTGTGCTAGTCTCCCCGGTATAACAGGTCCCCAGCACCTTATGCCAGTCTCCCTGGTAGCACAGGTCCCCAGTACCTTATGCTAGTCTCCCTGGTAGCACAGGTCCCCAGTACCTTATGCTAGTCTCCCCGGTATAACAGGTCCCCAGAACCTCATGCTAGTCTCCCCGGTAGAACAGGTCCCCAGTACCCCATGCTAGTCTCCCCGGTAGAAGAGATCCCTAGCACCTCATGCTAGTCTCCCCGGTAGAACAGGTCCCCAGTACCTTATGCTAGTCTCCCCGGTATAACAGGTCCCCAGCACCTTATGCCAGTCTCCCTGGTAGCACAGGTCCCCAGTACCTTATGCTAGTCTCCCCGGTATAACAGGTCCCCAGAACCTCATGCTAGTCTCCCCGGTATAACAGGTCCCCAGCACCTCATGCTAGTCTCCCCGGTAGAACAGGTCCCTTGTACCTCATGCCAGTCACCCCAGTAGAACAGATCCCTAGCACCTCATGCTAGTCTCCCCGGTAGAACAGGTCCCTTGTACCTCATGCCAGTCACCCCAGTAGAACAGATCCCTAGCACCTCATGCTAGTCTCCCCGGTAGAACAGGTCCCTTGTACCTCATGCCAGTCACCCCGGTAGAACAGATCCCTAGCACCTCATGCTAGTCTCCCCGGTAGAACAGGTCCCTAGTATCTCGTGGTAGTCTCCCCGGTAGAACAGGTCCCCAGTACCTCATGTCAGTCACCCCGTTAGAACAGGTCACCAGCACCTCATGCTAGTCTCCCCCGTAGAACAGGTCCCCAGTACCTCATGCTAGTCTCCCCGGTAGAACAGGTCCTTAGTACCTCATGCCAGTCACCCCGGTAGAACAGGTCCCCAGTACCTCATGCTAGTCTCCCCGGTAGAACAGGTCCCCAGTACCTCATGCCAGTCACCCCGGTAGAACAGGTCCCCGGTTCCTCATGTCATTCAACCCGGTAGAACAGGTCCCCAGCACCTCATGCTAGACTCCCCGGTAGAACAGGTCCCCAGTACCTCATGTCATTCAACCCGGTAGAACAGGTCCCCAGCACCTCATGCTAGTCTCCCCCGTAGAACAGGTCCCCAGTACCTCATGCCAGTCACCCCGGTAGAACAGGTCCCCAGTACCTCATGTCATTCAACCCGGTAGAACAGGTCCCCAGCACCTCATGCTAGACTCCCCGGTAGAACAGGTCCCCAGTACCTCATGTCATTCAACCCGGTAGAACAGGTCCCCAGCACCTCATGCTAGTCTCCCCGGTAGAACAGGTCCCCAGTACCTCATGCTAGTCTCCCCGGTAGAACAGGTCCCCAGTACCTCATGCTAGTCACCCCGGTAGAACAGGTCCCCAGCACCTCATGGTAGTCTCCCCGGTAGAACAGGTCCCTAGTACTTTATGCCAGTCACCCCGGTAGAATAGGTCCCCAGTACCTTATGCTAGTCTCCCCGGTAGAACAGGTCCCCAGAACCTCATGCTAGTCTCCCCGGTAGAACAGGTCCCCAGTACCTTATGCTAGTCTCCCCGGTAGAACAGGTCTCTAGTACCTTATGCCAGTCTCCCCGGTAGAACAGGTCTCTAGTACCTTATGCCAGTCTCCCCGGTAGAACAGGTCCCCAGTACCTCATGCCAGTCACCCCGGGAGAACAGGTCCCCAGTACCTTATGTCAGTCACCCCGGTAGAACGGGTCCCCAGAACCTCATACTAGTCTCCCCGGTAAAACAGGTCCCCAGTACCTCATGCCAGTCACCCCGGTAGAACAGGTCCCCAGAACCTCATGCTAGTCTCCCCGGTATAACAGGTCCCCAGCACCTCATGCTAGTCTCCCCGGTAGAACAGGTCCCTTGTACCTCATGCCAGTCACCCCAGTAGAACAGATCCCTAGCACCTCATGCTAGTCTCCCCGGTAGAACAGGTCCCTTGTACCTCATGCCAGTCACCCCAGTAGAACAGATCCCCAGCACCTCATGCTAGTCTCCCCGGTAGAACAGGTCCCTAGTTTCTCGTGGTAGTCTCCCCGGTAGAACAGGTCCCGAATACCTCATGTCAGTCACCCCGTTAGAACAGATCCCTAGCACCTCATGCTAGTCTCCCCGGTAGAACAGGTCCCTTGTACCTCATGCCAGTCACCCCAGTAGAACAGATCCCTAGCACCTCATGCTAGTCTCCCCGGTAGAACAGGTCCCTTGTACCTCATGCCAGTCACCCCGGTAGAACAGATCCCTAGCACCTCATGCTAGTCTCCCCGGTAGAACAGGTCCCTAGTATCTCGTGGTAGTCTCCCCGGTAGAACAGGTCCCGAATACCTCATGTCAGTCACCCCGTTAGAACAGGTCCCCAGCACCTCATGCTAGTCTCCCCCGTAGAACAGGTCCCCAGTACCTCATGCTAGTCTCCCCGGTAGAACAGGTCCCCAGTACCTCATGTCATTCAACCCGGTAGAACAGGTCCCCAGCACCTCATGCTAGTCTCCCCGGTAGAACAGGTCCCCAGTACCTCATGCTAGTCTCCCCGGTAGAACAGGTCCCCAGTACCTCATGCCAGTCACCCCGGTAGAACAGGTCCCAAGTACCTCATGTCATTCAACCCGGTAGAACAGGTCCCCAGCACCTCATGCTAGACTCCCCGGTAGAACAGGTCCCCAGTACCTCATGTCATTCAACCCGGTAGAACAGGTCCCTAGTACTTTATGCCAGTCACCCCGGTAGAACAGGTCCCCAGCACCTCATGCTAGTCTCCCCGGTAGAACAGGTCCCCAGTACCTCATGTTAGTCTCCCCGGTAGAACAGGTCCCAAGTACCTCATGCTAGTCACCCCGGTAGAACAGGTCCCCAGCACCTCATGGTAGTCTCCCCGGTAGAACAGGTCCCTAGTACTTTATGCCAGTCACCCCGGTAGAATAGGTCCCCAGTACCTTATGCTAGTCTCCCCGGTAGAACAGGTCCCCAGAACCTCATGCTAGTCTCCCCGGTATAACAGGTCCCCAGAACCTCATGCTAGTCTCCCCGGTAGAACGGGTCCCCAGAACCTCATGCTAGTCTCCCCGGTAGAACGGGTCCCCAGAACCTCATGCTAGTCTCCCCGGTAGAACAGATCCCTAGCACCTCATGCTAGTCTCCCCGGTAGAACAGATCCCCAGTACCTCATGCTAGACTCCCCGGTAGAACAGGTCCCCAGTACCTCATGTCATTCAACCCGGTAGAACAGGTCCCCAGCACCTCATGCTAGTCTCCCCGGTAGAACAGGTCCCCAGTACCTCATGCTAGTCTCCCCGATAGAACAGGTCCCCAGTACCTCATGCCAGTCACCCCGGTAGAACAGGTCCCCAGTACCTCATGTCATTCAACCCGGTAGAACAGGTCCCCAGCACCTCATGCTAGACTCCCCGGTAGAACAGGTCCCCAGTACCTCATGTCATTCAACCCGGTAGAACAGGTCACCAGCACCTCATGCTAGTCTCCCCCGTAGAACAGGTCCCCAGTACCTCATGCTAGTCTCCCCGGTAGAACAGGTTCTTAGTACCTCATGCCAGTCACCCCGGTAGAACAGGTCCCCAGTACCTCATGCTAGTCTCCCCGGTAGAACAGGTCCCCAGTACCTCATGCCAGTCACCCCGGTAGAACAGGTCCCCAGTACCTCATGTCATTCAACCCGGTAGAACAGGTCCCCAGCACCTCATGCTAGTCTCCCCGGTAGAACAGGTCCCCAGTACCTCATGCTAGTCTCCCCGGTAGAACAGGTCCCCAGTACCTCATGCCAGTCACCCCGGTAGAACAGGTCCCCAGTACCTCATGTCATTCAACCCGGTAGAACAGGTCCCTAGTACCTCATGTCATTCAACCCGGTAGAACAGGTCCCCAGCACCTCATGCTAGTCTCCCCGGTAGAACAGGTCCCCAGTACCTCATGCTAGTCTCCCCGCTAGAACAGGTCCCAAGTACCTCATGCTAGTCACCCCGGTAGAACAGGTCCCCAGCACCTCATGGTAGTCTCCCCGGTAGAACAGGTCCCTAGTACTTTATGCCAGTCACCCCGGTAGAATAGGTCCCCAGTACCTTATGCTAGTCTCCCCGGTAGAACAGGTCCCCAGAACCTCATGCTAGTCTCCCCGGTATAACAGGTCCCCAGAACCTCATGCTAGTCTCCCCGGTAGAACGGGTCCCCAGAACCTCATGCTAGTCTCCCCGGTAGAACGGGTCCCCAGAACCTCATGCTAGTCTCCCCGGTAGAACAGATCCCTAGCACCTCATGCTAGTCTCCCCGGTAGAACAGATCCCCAGTACCTCATGCCAGTCACCCCGGTAGAACAGGTCCCCAGTACCTTATGCCAGTCACCCCGGTAAAAAAGGTCCCTAGTACCTCATGCTAGTCTACCCGGTAAAACAGGTCCCCAGTACCTTATGCTAGTCTCCCCGGTAAAACAGGTCCCCAGTACCTCATGGTAGTCTCCCCGCTAGAACAGGTCCCCAGTACCTCATGCCAGTCACCCCGGTAGAACAGGTCCCCAGGACCTCATGCTAGTCTCCCCGGTAGAACAGGTCCTAGTACCTTATGCTAGTCTCCCCGGTAGAACAGGTCTCTAGTACTTCATGCCAGTCACCCCGGTAGAACAGGTCTCTAGTACCTCATGCCAGTCTCCCCGGTAAAAAAGGTCCCCAGTACCTCATGCTAGTCTCCCCGGTAGAACAGGTCCCTAGTACCTCATGCCAGTCACCCCGGTAGAACAGGTCCCTAGTACCTCATGCTAATCTCCCCGGTAGAGCAGGTCCCAAGCACCTTATGCTAGTCTCCCTGTTTTATAGTGCAGTTCCAGACGTATTGTGCGGTAAATTCTGCGTTAACATATAACCATTCCCTTCCAAAAGAATATAACAAAAGCGAATTCGAAATATTCCACAAACTTTCATTATAAACAGATATCAATGGATAAGACAATTACGCACATAAATATGCTTAGTTTCTTTGATATGAATGTATGGTCAAATGTAAACATAGTTCATGCAGTCATAATATTAAAAATAACGTTTAAAAGTGACATTTATTTCAGGTTTCGTTTTCTTGTAGGATTCATATTTTGTATGTTCAAATCCCATGTAAAATGTTTGGGTATCATTCGATTTCAAAATTCGATAAAAAGCTTGAAAATATTGAAAATTATTATTGATTGATAAAGAAGGCAAATGCCACCATTTTCTGCAATTATGCTGTGATTTACGTTTTCTGCAATTCTTTCCGCGTTCCAGGAATCGCAGAATTCGTCTGGGACTGAGAGAATGGATGGATACAGTATCTCTATTTTCAGCTTCTTCATGTGGCACGAGAGTTAACTGACTGTGAAAGTCCAGTTTCCGCGCCTGCCGAACTAGGCTGGAATTCCTTGGCTTGATAGTTGCGCCACCAGTGGCTATTACGAGTTGTGTCCCTTCTATGTCGTTCCTATTGGCCAATCAGATTCCACCTCTCATATTACTTGCACGTTACTTAAAACAAAAAGGCGGCGGCCAGTCATGACGATCTGACCAAAATCAAAACCTTTATTATAATAAAACGGGTCTCACTTCGCGAAGTGCATCAAATCACGTGAGCGCATTGATTAAAAAGATGAAAATATTTGGAAAATATCTGTTGACGCCGTGTTTGCTTTGCAAATCCTGCAATCGATCCGAAATATGCACGGCAGTTTACGAACCGGATATCTATTTCGTTACGCGATTTTGATTGAACTATGCAAAGATTCGTTAGTCCAGCCGAAATTTAACTCCATAATTCCAGCCTGGTTCGGCAAGAGTGGAAACTCGACTTTTACAGTCAGTTAACTCCCTTGCCTTGGGAAGATGTGTATTCAGTTGTTGGACGACAGTTGAATGCTGCCCTCTGTACTTGACCTACCTGAGTTCTTTAGAGTCTTGGCTTTATTCAAGAACAGGTGTGCAACGGCAGGCATAGTTCTGTCGTCCATCCTTTTCACTGAAAATGGATAAACTGATATGGCAACTACCACACCCAACATGTAGCCAATCTCATCAAAATCAGATCTTATTTCTCGCTGCCGCTAAACAAAGATCTGAGGACATCCCATTACGGGTCGCGTCAGAACGACCTGTCGCAAACCTTGACCGACCACTTAAAAGGCGTCAACATCAGCCAATTAGAAAGCAGCTTTCTCGAGTTTTACGACACTCGTTTCGAGCTTGCGACTTCCATTTTAGACAACGCTTGAAAATTATGTTGACACAGTTTTCGATTAAAATTTGGAAAACTGAACAAACGAACATTCCGAAATGTCTAATACATGGTTGAGATTATATTGCAGTGCTTCCCACATACTGTTCAACGCCTCCTCCATTCAAATGTTTATCCTTCGGAAGCGAGAGATAGACGATAATTTTGACGGAATCAGCCGTACGGGCCGTAACTGTCGTTCGGAATACACTTTCAAGGTTGCATGATTCGGAAACACATTCCGACTGTCACTTTCATGATCTGGTAAGCAACGCTTTGATTGGTCGGATGAAAGGTCGTTCTGACGTGACCCGTAATGGGATGTCCTCAGATCTTTGTTTAGCGATAGCGAGAACTAAGATCTGATTTTAATTAGATTGAACATGTAGCGTAATGTATTTCTATTTGGACGTATTGTTTCCTTTGGCGTTTTGTTTTCGAACACGAAATAATGGTCCCAAATCCTGTAAATCCAATCGTAGAATTGCAACAGACACTGGTGCAACTGAAAATATTGCTTTGGATTTTATTTGCTAAAACTTGAATTGCACGTGAAGCACGATCGCAGGATGCATATAGTTAAAAAACAATATTCGTCAGTGCTGAAATCACGAGTAACAGGCTACGTTTGTCCTTAGAACAGAAGTGTCATTGCATACTGGAGTTGTTAACCGGACAGGATTCCGTTGCTAGACACATTGGTAGCACCGATGCAATAACTACGGGCTTGCTCCTCGTGATACCACCAGACAGGAGATTGGACAGGCCCAGGGCATGTCCAAGGACAGACCCAGACCAGACCCAGGACAGAATCGGGACAGACCCAGAACAGAGTCAGGGCAGACCCAGGACAGACCCAGAACAGAATCAAGACAAACCAGAACAGAATCAGGACAGACCGAGGACAGAACCAGGACAGACCGAGGACCGAACCAGAACAGAATCAGGACAGACCGAGGACAGAACCAGAACCAGGACAAAACCAGGACAAAACCAGAACAGAACCAGGACAGAACCAGAACAGAACCAGGACAGACCCAGAACAGAATCAGGACAGACCCAGGACAGACCCAGAACAGAATCAGGACAGACCCAGAACAGAACCAGGACAGACCTAGGACAGAACCAGGACTGAATCAAGACAGACCCAGAACAGACCTAGGACAGAATCAGGAAAGAATCAGGACAGACCCAGAACAGACCCAGAACAGAATCAGAACAGACCAAGAACAGAATCAGGACAGAATCAGGACAGAACCAGAACAGAATCAGAACAGACCCAGAACAGGCCCAGGACAGACCCAGAACCAGGACAGAAGTTCAGCTCGCGGTCTACCCGTGAAGATCCGGGTAAGAATAGGTCTTCAGCAACTCATGCTTGCCGTAAAAGGCGACTAGGGGGATCTGGTGGTCAGGCTCACTGACTGGGTTGATGCATGTCATCGTATCCAAATTGCGTACATCGATGCGCAAGATGTCAATCACTGGATTGTCTGGTCCAGATTTGATTATTTCCAGACCGTCGTCATAATAATGGAATAGAGCGAAGTTAAAGAATAAACATCAAACAAACAAACATCGCGCGATCGCCAGTTGAGTCGAAATTCCAGACTGCTAATGATATAGCGGTTTAACACTCGACAAAAACAGGTACAATGTACACAGGTATGATAGTTCTTGAACATGGAAAACGCGACCGATTAAAAACAATTCCGATGACATAACGATAAACACATAGGTGCGATGATCACTTGCATAAGAATGTGAGTGAGTGAGTGAGTTGGGTTTAACGCCGCTTTTAACAGTATTCCAGTCATATCACGGCGTGTCACCTTAATGTGGGAGGAAAGCCCCAAGTGATGCACGTCTCAGACGTTTACCACTTCGGTGAAACCCACGAGTACGGGTATGGTGCTGACAAACCTAGAAACATAATCGGGGTTAACCGGGATTCGAACCCACAATCATAGGTCTCTGGTGTGCCCAAGGGACGCAACTCTCCACAGCGATATCGATTCGCGGCGCCTTAGACGTCTGGGCCACCCGTGCTCCCTGCATAAGAATGTACAATTGTCGCGACAGTAGGATCGTTTGAATGGGGAGTCTTATATTATAAGCCAAGACTACAAGGGAAAAGTAGATTGAGAATATAGTCTACCCTGAAATAATAATGCGAAATACAATCCCGTGGATTTGGCCCCTATTGCGATGTGATTTCCGAATCAAAACCAAAAGATGTTATCCCAGAAATTGTGACATGAGTAATGATCAAACCATATCAATAAATAGTCAATAAATTATATTAAAACACCCAGTTGGCGGTTTTCAATCAAAACAGGCAAAAAGCAACCACGATACCCGCATCAAATACATCACTATCGATTTACCATGTCAACTCGGGTGATGGCGGTGCCTTAGGCCACTGATCTACCTCGGCCACCGACAACAAATAATAACCAGTGCTCTTGTTTGTTTTATTTTAACAAACATTAGATGTGTGTGTACTTTCTTTTGCCTGGCAGTATATGTGTTTCTGTGTACCTTTCTTTTCAAGTTTCTTCATAATGTCGATATGATGTGCCTGCTGAAAAGATATAAAAAAATAAATCAGCTTATCATCGTATCATAAAGGGAGGCAATCGTGGCCCAGACGTCTAAGGCGCCGCGATTCGCTGTGAAGAGTTGCGTCCCTTGGGCACGCCAGTAACCTATGATTTAGGGTTCGAATCCCGGTTCGCCCCGATTATGTTTCTAGGTTTGTCAGAACCATACCCGTGCTCGTGAGTTTCACCGAAGTGGTAAACGTCTGAGACCTGCATCACTTTCCTCCCACATTAAGCTGACACGCCGTGATATATCTGGAATAATGTTAAAAGCGGCGTTAAACCAACTCACTCACTCACTCGTATCATAAAAGCATGACCTGTTAACACATCATGAGTGGCCTACGGCATTCATTCCCAGACCTAATGGTCTATTGGATAAGGCATCTGCCCGGAGAGCGGAAGATCGGTGGTTCGATCCCCGGTCGCGTCATACCAATATACAATATTGTACCTGTTGTTAATCGTAAGCGTCTTCTGCTAGGAAACAGTATACTAGTATTTGACTGTTCAGTTGCATTAGTTCCACATTAACGAGGCAAAGTAGTGGCAGCTTTCGCTCCAGTTTATTGAGCGTGACAGGAAACGTAGGTGTCGTGTTGTTTATTTAAGAGGTTCTTGACAGCTGTCAGAGTTCATCTGCATCGATACATTTTTTAAGAAATGTTAAGTGACGAAGTGAGGTGAAATGGGGTTTAACGTCGCGTCCAAGATTATTTCACTTATATAGCAACGTGCATGCACGCCCGTGTATGTAGCTGCTTGTACTAGTCCGGACTGATGCCGATTTATAGTGCTAGCTATAGCTCACTGAGATACCATGCCGCAGTTTAACATGACTACCCCACTTAGACACAGTATACTGACTCCGAGCCGACCAGTCCTTGTTTGAGCCCCTTAATGCCGAGCGCCAGACAGGGTAACAACAAGTACCATCTTTTTACGTCTTTCTGGTACGACGCGACGCGGGCGGACGCCCTACCACTACACCACGATGGTGTTCGGATCATTCATGAGAATGAGTGTCCTATGTAATGAAAACGCCCGCAATCATTGTTAGGGTTTGGTTTGGTTTGTTGTTTAACGCCGCACTCAGCAATATTACAGCTATATGACGGCGTTACTTCCCCTCAGTTTTCCACGCCGCTGTGGAAATGTATCCACCGATGGTATAAAAAAATACGTCTAAAATTGCACACTCATAAAAAAGCCAGGTCGTGTTTGATCGTTCTTCATCTTGATTCTGTATTCGTTTTCCGAAGCAAAGCGACCGGATCAACGTCATAAATTAATTCAAAGATTATTATCAAGTTTTCTGAACTTTTGAAATTTCATAAAATAAGTTAAACAATTAGTGAAACAATTATTTTTTTTATTTTTTTTATTTTTTTTTTTCGCCCGCCCGCTCTCTTGCTGGTTGAGGTTGGAAAACATATACAAAATATGGATGGTCTTAGATACCTGTCTTTCTAATCTGGAACCGAGAGCTTCAGCGTAACTAATCTGAACCGACAAGGGAGGGGAAAACGAATTTCTGAGGATGTCCCGTGCTGTCCAGGTACAATTTGCAGTGGGTGGAGAGCACCAAGCCTCGTGGGCATTGATTCTTGTCAAAACACTGTATAACATGTTATACAACAACAGTTAAGATCACATAAGACAACATTTGACTAATTTAAAATGCAACCACATATGTATATTCCATTCACGCATTTATATGACATGAAATTAGTTAAACATACACAACAAACTATATACAACATAGAAGTCAGGATTACTCAAACATAGTTTCTATAATACACCTACCCACACCACGCCAGAAACCTATGATTGTGGGTTCGAATCCCGGTTCGCCCCGATTATGTTTCAGGGTTTGTCAGCACCATACCCGTGCTCGTGGGTTTCACCGAAGTGGTAAACGTCTGAGACCTGCTTCACTTCAGGCTTTCCTCCCACATTAAGCTGACACGCCGCAATATAACTCGCAAGATAAAAGCGGCGTTAAACCCAACTCACTCACTCACTCACTCACTAATAATTCCCTAATACGCACACAAATGTATATTATACTATAAGAAAGAAGAGACAAACACACCCTTGAACAGTTGACTATGTTTCACAAATCTGTTTGTTCGTGGCTTTGTCAATCTCATTGAAATCAGATCTTAGTTTTCGCTACCGCTAAGCTTTGTTTAGCGATAGGGGGGGCACGGGTGGCCCAGTCGTCTAAGGCGCCGCGATTCGCTGTGCAGAGTTGCGTCCCTTGGGCACGCCAGAAACCTATGATTGTGGGTTCGAATCCCGGTTCGCCCCGATTATGTTTCTAGGTTTGTCAGCACCATACCCGTGCTCGTGGGTTTCACCGAAGTGGTAAACGTCTGAGACCTGCATCACTTCGGGCTTTCCTCCCACATTAAGCTGACACGCCGCGATATAACTGGAATACTGTTAAAAGTGGCGTTAAACCCAACTCATTTGTTTAGCGATAGCGAGAACTAAGATCTGATTTTAATGATATTGTACTTTCTGTGTATTTATGACCCCGCGGGTTCGGTGTTCCGCTTGTGGTGCACGCGACCTCAACTATCTATAAATATAGCGCGTTGCTGTCCTCTGTACGACACTCTTTGTTGTTGACTACCATATTCCAGCTATATGACGGCGGTCTGTAAATAATCGAGTCTGGACAGGCAATCCAGTGATTGACATCATGAGCATCGATCCACGGAACTGGGATATGATGACACGCATCAACCAAGTCAGCGAGCCTGACCACCCGATCCCGTTAGTCGCCTCTTTCGACAAGCATAGCCGCCTCCACATTATATCAAATTGAAAGTCGCGAAGGCGGTCGGGTGCATAACAAAATAATGCATATAGATCGAATATATAACGTATGTAGTAGATGTATGCTGAATGCAAGCGTAATCCATGAATGAGACAAGCTTGTTTGGTTTAATAGTGTTAACCCCGAAAAGGTTTCGTTGTATTTTAGGAATTTAAGAAAACGTTCCGCGTGATTCTTCACGCGGGTCCTTGAGGTCAAGGTTATCCAATCAAAACGTGGGCCTCTTCACATCGTGGGTAATTTTTACACATTAACTATTCATTTTTGTTTGCGCCCGAATTCAAATCAAATTGACCTCGGAAATATGGCGAATAAAAAATATTTAAGAGATCCCCCTCTGCTGACATATATTTGAACAATGGTTATTAAGGCATTTAGAAGTTGGAAGAATATGAAAACATGGAACTTTTACGGGTAACAACTTATTTACTGTATGTAACAACGGCAGAGGGCTACTTCTGGCCCCTTCAGGGGCGGCCGGGTAGCCCAGTGGTTAAAGCGCTCTCTCGTCACACCGAAGACCCGGGTTCGATTCCCGACATTGGTACAATGCGTGAAGCCCATTTCTGGTGTCCCCCGCCGTGATATTGCTGGAATATTGCTAAAAGCGGCGTAAAACCATAGTCACTCACTCTGGTCCTTCATCAGGTTATGAAGTAACAACTTTTGTAAAAAAATATTATTAATGTTGATAATTTAGAAGAAATGTTGTCCCAACCATTATGGCTTAATCACATCTTCAAACAAGCAACATACTACGTAAAGCAATGGGCTAATATTGGAATTTACTCAATTAAAGATATATGCAATGAAAACGGATTGATGTCATTTGAAGAACTGAAATTAAAATATCCGATAAAAGGTACAATATTAGACTATAGATACAGTCAAGTCTCGTTAATCCGACATCGTTGGTTGCACATGATTGTGTCGGATTAACGAGTATGTCGGATTAACGAAATTAAGTTATTTGTGATCGAAAATCGGACGTCTTCACGATAGATAATAACCGTGTGTACCTTGTAATACAATCATTAAAAACGAAATATTAATATTGTTATGTTGTTTATTCATTCATTCCTTAATTTAAAATTAATGACTGTGCAAAAATAATAATAATTTTCCCATTTATACATAACAATAGAGACATTACTCACTGAATTTATCACATGATCAACGACACACGTTTCCTCGTGTAAATGCAAGTGCTACTGTCTTAACAACTTGCTTCATCTACTTAAAATAGTCTGTCAGTGTTTTCTGTTTCTAACATTTTGAAGGCACATTTCTCAAAGTCCCCTGCTCGCTTGACGTCTAGGGCTTGTTTCATTTGTATGTTATCTTCAATATACCAGAATCATGGAAAACAACAATCCAGAAAACTAGAAAAATAATTTTACAGAATTTATACATAAACAGTTGGTTAAGTGATCTGATGAAGCCTGTTAAAGGTGCGAGAAACTTTTATGATAAATTAATATCACATGAAAATAATCTTAAAGTTTGTGATAAATGGCAATACATTTTTCATTGTGATTTTAATTGGAAAATTTACTGTTTATAGATGTAAACTGAAGGATGTAAAACTTTTAGATTTTCAGTACAGATTTCTACATGGAATTATCTACACAAAGAAGGAACTATTAATAATGAATCTTGTAGACAACAGTGTTTGTAGTTTTTGTAATGCTGTCAATGAGGACATCAGCCATGTCTTTTGGGAATGTAATGAAACTAAACAATTTTGGAATGATCTTGAACTTTGGCTTAATAATCATCTCTCACAAAAAATTAATTTGACAAAATATCTTATTTGGTTTGGTTCTAACTACTCTAATACTTCATCAATCATATAGTTTGATTGGGAAAAAGGCATTTCATGTATGAGGAATTAAAGGAACCAAACCGAAATTAGATATACTTTTAAAACTATTCAAAAGCATATATTCAATCGAGAAATTTATTGCTATAAAAAAAGGATGACAAAAATAACTTTAACAAAAAATGGCCACCTTTATTATCAGCATTTGATTCTCAGCTCTCTGTTGATACATGATATGTTTGAGTCTGAATGTGTGTTGCAACCGTTTTGGGTTTGAAATAGGACAATGTTTGTTTCCAACCCTTTATTTTTTTAAAGAGTGTATTGTGCCATTCTATGCTATTCGAAATAAGTTTTTGACGGAATACTGTATTAATCTCCAACTCTGGGAACAATAAAAAAGTTTAAAAAATGGTTATGAAGAACATTACATTGCACTTGATGAAGGCACAAGAAGTAGCCCTGAAACGTCCTTTCAAACCACAAACAATTTTAATCGTCATCCATTAATGTTCCATGTCTTCAATTTGGTTACCACAGGTAAAATAAAAAAAAGCTTTTACTTCTGAATTTTTCTTACCAACTATAGCTAACCACCTGATAGCTTGAAGCACAAATATTAAACTTTCGCGAAGTAGTGTCTTCATTATGGAAAAAAACCCATCACACTTTTAAAAAATAAATAAATATTTTTATATATTTTTTTTTATATATTTTAAACTTTAGATTATTACATTTTTTGGCATTTACAAGTACTTTGATTTGGAATGCATTGTGATGACCCTACGATGGACAAAAAGAAACCAGGCCATTACAAAATTATCAAATGCTGAAAATAGTAACCCTGTGTCATTTTACTGGGGAAAATCCAAGTTTGACGTTACTGGACTAGATGATTAATAAGGTAGTAGTGTTAGAATACGTAACTCCGCATCAACATTCTCAAATATCTCAAGAGGCTGTAGAAAACCAAATCAGCTGGTCAATTCAATGGCTTAGAAAACTACTTTTTACCTCCGTTGTGAAACCTGAAGGCTCATTGAGTCTGTATTGGACTACTAGCAAATGAAACTTGCATCTCAATTTTAACCGAGAGAGAAGTAATGGATATCAAGCACTGTGGTCCATGACAACTCTAGTTAAGGAGAGTGTACAGTCATGATGATTTTAAAATTTACAAGGAGACTCAAAGCTGTCCGCAAGCAGAAATGACACATTTCTTAGAGGTTTACCCACTCTGGGAACCCATAACGTCAAGCTTCTCGACAATATCCAGGTGATGGTGAGGTGAAATGGGGTTTAACGTCGCGTCCAAGATTATTGCACTTATATAGCGACGTGCATGCGCGTGTATGTGTGTGTGGCTGCTTGTACTAGTCCGGACTGATGCCGATTTATAGTGCTAGCACACTGAGATACCATGCCGCAGGTTAACATGACTACCCCACTCAGACACAGTATACTGACTCAGAGCCCACCAGTCCTTGTTTTAGCCCCTTAATGCCGAGCGCCAGACCGGGTAACAACAAGTACCATCTTTTAACGTCTTTTGGTATGACGCGGCATGTTTTCCGTCTAATCGCACTTACCTCTTTCTGAACGTGGCGTATCATTTTCTTCCATCTCTTGGACTGATGCCGCCGAGTTGTGTTCGAGTATCGCTCAGGTGTGTGCTCGGGCGTATCCTCCCGCTCGGTAGATTGGGGTAAAGGTGCTATCATAATCATCGTCACAATAAGCCCTAGGTTCAAGACAACCAATACACAAACAACTCCGAAAAGAAATCGCTTCCCCATGCTCGCCGTGCAACTAAGACTTACAGCCTGTTTTCAAACAGATTCAAACTTGCTCGGTACTTTGTGTATCGCGTCACTGGAAAACCCATCTAAACGTTTATGGGGAATTACGGGTGGAGTAGGCGGGTATGCAAGCGCTCATGAATATGCACAAGGTTGAGGTGTTTTCGGGTACATTCTCAACCCATTTGCAGTTACCAAGGAGTTCTCTTTTAGCAGTAAAGTACGGACCATTTGAGGGGAGTAGCTCACGGGTGGGGTGGGTTATCGAAAAACATAAATTGTCCCAGAAAATGCTGAATTTTCTCTTTTGCAACAGGCTGTTGATGTATTGGAAAAATGTCAGCCACAAGAAAGGCATTGTTGCAAGACGTTTTTTGTGTGTGGTTTAAAAAAAAAAAAATCCGAAATATTTAGGCTCACAGTATTATTTTTTTTTAAATATATCTGTTTTTCGTGCTGTAGCTAAAAAAATATCAAGTTTCCGTACATGATCCAAGGTCCCCTACCCCAAAATAAACCCAGGTAACCCCCGTGCAGTTTATATGAAATCATGCAATCTGTGAATGGTGGAGTTCGTGCGACCTGTGGTGTTTTAATTGTTCGTGGAACTCAAGTCTTTGCCTGTGCTCCTTAACGCGATAGTACGTGTATGGACCGATAGAGCACTCCACTCGTCCTCATTCTGTTACACAGCGACCTTGGAGATTAGCAACTTCCTTGTGTAAAGAATGCGTGGACTTTCATGGCGCGGAAGGGAGGTTAATCGCAACACACAAATGCACCGTATTGAAAGTATTTTTGGCATGAACTGCTAAAAAAATGTGCACTTATCAAATCTTCTTTTGTGAACTTTATACAACTAGATATAACCTAGAAAATAGATTAAAATCCCCTGGGACTCTCACCCACGCACGCAGTTATTGTACCTGCGTTTTACTCACTTGTGAAGAAAGGTCAAGCTCGCAATGTGAGATGATGTTAATATTTACATATTGAGGTTTTCACTTCTGCGTCTCGTGGTATCGGTGTATGCAGTGAAACACACCTCCGTGTAATTTCAATATCATGTTCAAACTTTATGAATTCATGCAGCCTAGACGTTGGCCATGTGACCCTGGGTCGCAGGAACATCCGGGTTAGAATTGTCCTTAACAACACATGCTTGTCGTAAGAGGCGACTAACGTAATGTCACCCTTGCTTGTGTAAGTTACCATCTCGGCGATTCATTGTGTGCAATCAGGCAGGAAATAAACACCTGAATGTGTTGGTCTCAAATACCCAAACACAACAGGTGTCACCTTCTTCCCAGTCCAACTGCCGATATTCCGGGTAAGCGTACGACACCCAGCAACCAATCGGGTGGTCAGGCTCACTGACTTGGTTGATGCATGTCATCGTATCCCGATTGCGTGGGTCGATGCTCATGATGTCAGTCACTGGATTGGCTGGTCCAGACTCGATTATTTACAGACCGCGTCATGTAGCTGGAATATTGCTGAGTGTGGCGTTAAACAACAAACAATAACAAGAAGCATTTAGACAAATGCTTTTGAGATTTGTGTTAAGTAGTAATCGGGATTCAGAGTGGGTTAGGGTGGTGTGTGTGTGTGTGTGTGTGTGTCGTGTGTGGTGGCACCCATATGAGTCTGTGGTACATTGACTCCCTTATGATATAGATATAATATATACTGGCGAGTCGAAGATCCATTAAAACCGAACAACCATGAAACCAATAGAACTTCTACGTCATTGACAAATACCTGATAACCTTCTGAATTATCTGAATACTATAATCTAAATAAATGTAATTTAGGGATTAAATACTGTTTATGTCTAAAAATAAAGACGCGTTTGTCGAGGGATGTGTGTGTGTGTGGGGGGGGGGGGGGGGGGGGGGGGAGTAAGTTTGGCCTTCACTATTGCATCTCTTGGCTTTTGAAGATGTATCACAACAAATAGCCGATCTATCTGCAATTCTTGTTTTAACGGAGCTGACCTGGGACTTGGTCTTGACATTCCAGTAACAAGTGAGCAATGGATTCAGGTTGATTGCAAGATTGGCATACCTTGTCATAGAGCTTTTTGTGACAGAGTCTGAGGCGTGAGATGGCTACTTCAACTTTTATTTTATTTTAGTATGAGTTTGGCTTTTAGTGGATTTTAGGTTGGAGTTTGTTTCGCCATCTGCCGATCACACTTGCGTCCCATTGGACGTGCCATTAAGGGGCTACTGAGGCTTTGATTTCGATTTTTATCTTTAGTTTACTAAAGGGAAGAGACTGTATCTCCGCTTTGTCTAGAGCTAGTGTCTGTTTTTCATTTCCATGAATATCCACGTGAGACGGGATCCAACTCCACCTGTTTTCCTTGGTCTGATAGTTTTGTATATTGGTATAGAATACTATTGACTGTGTTTGGCCTGGAGTTTGAGTTTCTGTCGCTGATGGCTTGAAGTGCACTTAGCGAGTCTGATAGGATGACTGCCTTTGCTTCCGGAAGTTCCGGTATGAGTTTGAGTGCACGAGGAACAACCTCCAATTCAGCAGTGAATACCGACTGACCATCAGGCAGGAGAACCGAATCTGCTTGTGTTTTGGAGCAATGGATATAGATCCCGTACCCTGCCTGACAGTATAAAAGTAAAACATATGGACAACAATGGACAGACGAAGAGACAATGACGTTACCCTGGTCATGGTTGGTTGGTTGGTTTGTTGTTTAACGCCGCACTCAGCAATATTCCATCTATATAACGGCGGTCTGTAAATAATCGAGTCTGGACCAGATAATCCAGTGATTGATATCATGAGCATCGGTCCACGCAATTGGGGTCAAGATTCAAGATTCAAGATTCTTTATTCAGTATTTTGGGCCATGTGGCCTAGAGTACAATTACCATTACAATAATTGCTGCGTCACGTGATGTCAGGAAAATAAATACAAGTAGTCTTATTTCACATTAAATACATGATTTAAGTATAAGGTCAAAGCCTTTACAATGTTGATATTTTTGGAGATGAGTAGATTACATAAACTGTGATTATCATGATGAACATTGGATAACCAAGGCAAATAGTGGTTTCTGACAGAAGAATATTTTGAACATATAAACAAAACATGAAATTCATCCTCTAATTGCCTCCCTCTACAGTGGGTACATAGATATAGACTCAAGTCTTCATTTGTATGTTTTGACTTTCGTAGCATGTTAATCTTAAAACCGTGTAGCGATATTCTGAATTTACAATATGCTCTCCTGAGTGATTTATTCGTGAGATTACTGATGTAAAATTCTGTGATTTCAAATTTGCATAGTGTGACAGGTATTTTGATGAAGAAATAGAGTCATGCCACTCTTGAGAATACATATCACTCAGCCTTTGTTTTATTTTTAGCAAAAAGAGATTTTCATCGCCAATATGTTGAGAGATCCATACAAATGAAAAGCCTGAAGAAAACAAAATATATCTTACATCAGACACCCAGGTGTGTTTATCATTATCATCTAACTGTTTAAGTAGATTGTAACATTGTTTTGGATATCGACATTGATTCATACGTAGCGATCTCAACCAGTATTTAAGTACCCTTGCTAAACACGAACATATTTAATCGCCCAGTTTCAGCAAGAATAGCTTTATTAGAGGCATATTTTCCGATACAAAGATAATTTTAAAAAATAGGACGTATGTACTTTTTCTATACATTCATAATATTTTGCCCCCCAGATTTCAGCCCCATAAAGTAATATAGGAGCAATCTTACAATCAAACATTGTACAAGCTGTTTCGAATGTTATATAGCTATTTCTTTTGAAAACATGATAAATGGCTCTAGTGGCTTTAGAAGCCTGTGATGCTAGGCTTTTACAGGCCATTGACCAGATTAGCCTTGAGGAGAAAAATACTCCAAGATACTTGTAGTAAGTGACAAGTTTTACATTTATAGAACCATAGAACCAATTTTCATTTTTTCGTATAATGCCACCGTTTCGGAAAACAATTGTTTTTGTTTTATCAAGATTCACACTTAGGCCCCAGGTAATGCAAAATTTTCTTAAGATATCTAATTGTCTTTGTAGACCAATAACTGTATATGAGAACATAGTCACATCGTCGGCAAAAAGTAGTAGCATAATATCTTCAATACTTTCTGAAACAAACACACCATGACAGCACGTTTTATAAATGTCAGTTACAAGCTCATTAATAAAGAAGATAAACAGAAGCGGGCTTAAGATACAGCCTTGTCTTACACCGGAGCTAGTTGTAAACAAATCTGTTCTACCTTTGTCTGTTTTTACACAAGCCTTAACAGCAGAATACATACTAGCTAAGACATTATACAACTTGTCATGGCAACCTTTTTGTAAGAGCATAAATAATATTTTTTTCCTTTCCACAAAGTCAAAGGCTTTCTTGAAATCAATGAAAGCACAATAAAATCGCCCCCCTCGCTTTGATAAATATTTAGTTCAAAGAGCCTGGAGTGTGAAAATGTTGTCTGTTACTGAATAGTTGGATCTGAATCCAGCTTGTGCTTCATGTATTAAATCGTTTATATCCATCCATGATCGTAGTCTTTTTTCAAGTATTGACGTGAATAATTTCCCAGTTGCATTTAGCAGGGATATTCCTCTATAATTGTTGGGGTCAGAGGTAACACCAGATTTATGTATAGGTATTATAAGTCCAATGTTCCATGCTTCAGGAAATATACCGGTATCTAATATTTTATTAAATAAAGGTCTCAAGTATTTAATAAGAATTGTTTCTGAAAGTTTAAAAAATTCTGGAGGGATTCCATCTTCACCAGGAGATTTCCCGAGTTTTAATCTTTTTAACGCTTCAGCTACTTCTTCATCAGTAATAATATCTGATAACAACTCATCTGTAATGGGTAGGCTATAAATTGAGATACGATGACATGCATCAACCAAGTCAGCGAGCCTGACCACCCGATCCCGTTAGTCGCCTCTTACGACAAGCATAGTCGCCTTTTACGGCAAGCATGGGTTGCTGCATGAAGACCTATTCTACCCCGGAATCTTCAGGGGTCCCCTGGTCATGGAACTTATGGACTGGACGTGATTCCCGACACTACTCAGGGGATAATCTATTAAGGCTATAAATGTCTTAATATCAGTAACATAGTAGAACAGGTTTGCTCACTCAGTGTATAATATGCAACTGTGATGAGGATTAACAATGGGTTTAGCGTTGTGTAAATAATGGCAAATAAGTGATTAAACATGTACATGTCATGGCTACATAGTAATTAGTCTTTGGAAATAAATGTTCATTCGGACAATGGTTGTCCTAAATCGGTCGCTTTGACAATATTACAAACGTTATGAATACGTTAATTACAAGAATGTAAATAGTCGCCGAAACATTGCTGTATCTATGTTTGTTTGTTTGTTTTTTGTTTAACGCCGCTCTCAGCAATATTCCAGCTATATGACGGCGGTCTGTAATTAATCGAGTCTTGACAAAACAATCCAGTGATTGATATCATGAGCATCGATCTGCACAATTGGGATACCATGAAATGCACCAACCAAGACAGCGACCCATATCAAATACATCACTATCGAATGACCATTTATTGTTTATTTTATGCTCATCATTTGATCCACCGTCAAATATGGGTGTATACTTTCTTTTCCCCGGCATTTTGTTACTCTCTGCCTTAAGGACGATATATATATGGTTTTCAGATCGTGAATATTAGTAAGAAAATATATAAGAAACAGAACATTAGTCTTTCTTGTCAAACTAAATAACCGCGCCTCTCATGAAAATAAAAATTCTGTCCGGTCTCTCAAAGAGATAAACATGTTTTTTTACAAGAAAATACAAATATCAACAATTTTTTTTCTCAATTTTAACTATGCACGTTTTCTTTGGAACCACGGTAATATCAGTTACACACAATTCCCAATTTAATACACCGTTACATGTTAAATTAAACGCTGAATTTTCTCCTAAGGTCTTTTTAAAATAGTAAAAATGCATTTCTGGGGCGAAATTTAGCGCCAAAGCCACGATCGAAGAAGCACAAGTGTCCCTGTAGGTTTAGCAGCACGCGATGCAATGGAGCTTTATGAAAAGTGGAAAGGGAAGTAACTCTCATTCGGAAGCTTCAATTTTCAATGGCGACCAAAACAAGGGGTGTTGAGTGCAACTGAGGATTTCCACATCATGTCGCAATGACTTGACAGCATGGCAGTGGCAGCGGTTCTTGAATTTAGCGGAAACAAACATTGCTTCCTTACGCCGTCTCAAGTTCTTGTGAAAAACGCTGGTGAAAAGGATGAGGTGAACAAAAAGCATGAATTCATGACTTGTCTAATGATTAGGCCTAGATAAACGTCTGATAGATCTGAAGTATTTTTCAGTGTGGACATTATGCGGACTAGTGGATAGTGGACTAGTGGATGGCGGGACCGCTGGTTCTTTGCAATTTGAAATTTGGGCCCTAAAACATTTGTTTTTTATTAAAAATATACATAATATCACGGGTAGAAACTAACATATTTAGTCCACTAGTCATATATGATAACATATTGTAAAACACTTAAAAATGGCGAATTTCTACTAGTCCTTATGATACCTTAACTATCATGACTATTGGGCAGTTTAGCAAGGACTACAGGACTAGTGCCAATTTCTAACCATGATCGATTCATTTATATTCATATAGAAGATACTCAATCTCATTAAAATCAGATCTTAGTTCTCGCTATCGCTAAACAAAGATCTGAGGACATCCCATTACGGGTCACATCAGAACGACCTTTCATCCGACCAATCAGAGCGTCCCTCACCAGATCATGAAAGTGACAATCGGAATGTGTTTTCTCATCATGCAACCTCAAAAACATTAACACGGGGTATTCCGAACGACAGTTACGGCCCGTACAACTAATTCCGTCAAAATTATCGTTTATCTCTCGCTTCCGTGGGTCAAACATTTGAATGGAGGAGGTGTTGCACAGTACATGTGAAGTACTGTCATACAATTTCAACCATATATTAGACATTTTGGAATGTTTGTTTGTTCAGTTTTCAAAATTTTAATCGAGAACTGTGCTTACATAAATTTCAAGCGTATTCTGAAATGGAAGTCGCCAGGCTGAAACGAGTACCGTAAAGCTCGAGAAAGCTGCTTTCTACTTGGCAGATGTTTGTCACTTCAGTGGTTGGTCAAAGTTCGCGAAAGTTTTTTCTGACTCGACCCGTAATGGGATGTCCTCAGATCTTTGTTTAGCGATCTTGGGTGTAAGATCTTGGGTTCTTGGGAGTAAAATCTGGCACAGAAAACGCAAAGGTATTTTGGTGAATGAGGAAGGTTTCCCATGTATATCTACTGTTATTTAAAGGTTATTAAATAGTGGGTCACATTACTGAATATGGCATCTTCAAGATACCTTAGAAAATGTTATAATATGATGCTTGTCCATGGGAAATTATTGAGGGCATCAAAAGTTAAAAACATGTTATACGAATGTGGATATGGTCATTTTATTTAAGTTACAGCAACATCAAGACATGTAGGGTGGCCCAGTCGTCTAAGGCGCCGCGTTTCACTGTGCAGAGTTGCGTCCCTTGGGCACCCCAGAGACCTATGATTGTGGATTCTAATCCCGGTTCGCCCCGATTATGTTTCTAGGTTTGTCAGCACCATACCCGTGCTGAGTTTCACCGAAATGGTAAACGTCTGGGACCTGCATCACTTCGGGCTTTCCTCCCACATTAAGCTGACACGCCGCAATATAACTGGAATATTGTTAAAAGCAGCTTTGAACCCAACTGACTCACTCACTCACTGATGCTCTAGACATGCCACAGCATTTTTTCAGCCATTTCACACAGACCTAAAATATATACCGCCTCCGCTTCCCGGAGAGCGGAAGGTCCGGGGTTTGATCCCCGGCCGCGTTAAAAGATGGTACTTTTTGTTACCCTGTCTGGCGCTCGGCATTAAGGGGCTAAAACAAGGACTGTGTCTGAGTGGGATATTCATGTGAAACTGTGGCATGGTATCTCAGTGAGCTAGCACTATAAATCGGCATCAGTCCGGACTAGTACAAGCAGCCACACAAACACATACACATACATGCTCGTCGCAATATAAGAGCAATAATCTTGGACGCGACGTTAAACCCCATTTCACCTCACCTCACCTAAAATATATGTACATCCAAAAATGGCATGGTTTCTTGTCCAGTTCTAGAAAAGCAAATTAATACACTACATTTAAGACTACTATAATACCAGAACCTTATCTATTAGTGGTAATTTGAATAAGTTTAAAACAGCTCTTTTTCAATTTCGTTGCAGCTCACATGATCTGTTTTTGAAACAGGCAGATTTGTAGATACTGCAAGAGAACATAGAATTTGTAGGATTTGTAAAACTGATTGTATTTGAAGATGAATATCACTTTTTATGTGACGTCCAGTGTATAATAATTTAAGAACAAAATATTAATATACCTATTTCTTACACATACCAAATGGTAACAATTTTGTAAATTAATAATATGTGATTGTACAAAAACTATGAGCATGATGAAGCCGATGCTATGCTATGAAGTTAAGATAATGTATGAATTTGTAACACACCCCAGACAATGTTCTGTAGGCCTTTGGCCTCATCAGTTCCAAGAATAAAGATTGATTGCTCGACATGAGACTAAAATCTACTGAACAAGACTACTAGCAGACTAGACTTTGATGCAGGCTGGTTAGGTTCAGTGTAGTTTATGTCCAGAGCTGACGCCTCAGAAGGAAACTGAAGGAAATGTATGCTGATTTGTGGGAAAGGATTGGTGTGTTGAGAGATTGGCATTTTGGGCTGGAGTTCCCATCACTACCACTAATTGAAGTTCCATAATGGCTTCTTCTTCGTCTTCTTCTTTTAAAACAACCACCAAATCTCAACCCTGAGCTTCGCCGAGGTAAACAAGGTGGTAGGAAATTAAGGCGCTACATGGGCTTGAACTCAGCCAATATTTCTGATTGGCTGATTAGGTTTGCTGTGTCTGAATGGGGTATTCATGTTAAATTGCGGCATGGTATATTTGTCTTTCTCTAAGATAGGTATTTTTAAAAATTAGACAATTACATTTACAGTTCTATTGTGCTGAGTACACTTTTAAACTGTCACACCAAATTCAAAGTTTACTTCAGGGGCATATATCTATGATAGTCTTTACAGTTTTGCATAAAGTATCATTAATAGTGTCTAACTTCTTAAAATATTTGAACTACACAAGGATAAAAGATTAATCTGTAAGAAAACATCATGATTTTTGTATGTTTATGTGCAAATGATTTGTCAAATGGATAAAAATGTGTATATTTACATATTCCCCTCAATTTCTAACACACACCTACATCCCAATGATGGTGTCATAATTTACAGAATGTTGTGGAACAACCCTCATTCCTTTTTGTCATAAGCAATATGAGATATGTCATAAAATGGGAATTAAATCACTTTTTGTTTGGTATATTGCGCCATATATTTGACAAGTTGACTTTTTGTCTTATTTTCGGCTTCATTAATTCATCAACGCAACAGATTGCCTTAACAATGTTGTTAAAGGCCTCCCAAAGTACGTCAGTTCGAGTTGTGCAGTAAACAAAAAATCATACCAGCAGACAGATGTAAAAGTATAGTGTTAGACTCTTGTGATGTGTTTAAGTGTTTGTATTCAGTTTAACTATACTGTAGTGTTTGATCCTAGTGTTGTGTTTGACTATACTGTAGTGTTTGATCCTAGTGTTGTGTTTGACTACTGTAGTGTTTGGTCCTAGTGTTGTGTTTGACTACTGTAGTGTTTGATCCTAGTGTTGTGTTTGACTACTGTAGTGTTTGATCCTAGTGTTGTGTTTGACTCTTCTATTGTGTTTGATCCTAGTGTTGTGTTTGATCCTAGTGTTGAGTTTAACTCTACTGTAGTGTTTGATCCTAGTGTTGTGTTTGACTACTGTAGTGTTTGATCCTAGTGTTGTGTTTGACTCTTCTATTGTGTTTGATCCTAGTGTTGAGTTTGACTCTACTGTAGTGTTTAATCCTAGTGTTGTGTTTGATCCTAGTGTTGAGTTGAACTCTACTGTAGTGTTTGATCCTAGTGTTGTGTTTGACTACTGTAGTGTTTGATCCTAGTGTTGTGTTAGACTCTACTGTAGTGTTTGATCCTAGTGTTGAGTTTAACTCTACTGTAGTGTTTGATCCTAGTGTTGTGTTTGACTACTGTAGTGTTTGATCCTAGTGTTGTGTTTGACTACTGTAGTGTTTGATCCTAGTGTTGTGTTAGACTCTACTGTAGTGTTTGATCCTAGTGTTGTGTTAGACTCTACTGTAGTGTTTGATCCTAGTGTTGTGTTAGACTCTACTGTAGTGTTTGATCCTAGTGTTGTGTTGGACTCTACTGTAGTGTTTGATCCTAGTGTTGTGTTTGACTCTACTGTAGTGTTTGATCCTAGTGTTGTGTTAGACTCTACTGTAGTGTTTGATCCTAGTGTTGTGTTAGACTCTACTGTAGTGTTTGATCCTAGTGTTGTGTTAGACTCTACTGTAGTGTTTGATCCTAGTGTTGTGTTAGACTCTACTGTAGTGTTTGATCCTAGTGTTGTATTAGACTCTACTGTAGTGTTTGATTCTAGTGTTGTGTTTGACTCTACTGTAGTGTTTGATCCTAGTGTTGTGTTTGATCCTAGTGTTGAGTTTAACTATACTGTAGTGTTTGATCCTAGTGTTGTGTTAGACTCTACTGTAGTGTTTGATCCTAGTGTTGTGTTAGACTCTACTGTAGTGTTTGATCCTAGTGTTGTGTTAGACTCTACTGTAGTGTTTGATCCTAGTGTTGTGTTTGACTACTGTAGTGTTTGATCCTAGTGTTGTGTTAGACTCTACTGTAGTGTTTGATCCTAGTGTTGTGTTAGACTCTACTGTAGTGTTTGATCCTAGTGTTGTGTTAGACTCTACTGTAGTGTTTGATCCTAGTGTTGTGTTAGACTCTACTGTAGTGTTTGATCCTAGTGTTGTATTAGACTCTACTGTAGTGTTTGATTCTAGTGTTGTGTTTGACTCTACTGTAGTGTTTGATCCTAGTGTTGTGTTTGATCCTAGTGTTGAGTTTAACTATACTGTAGTGTTTGATCCTAGTGTTGTGTTAGACTCTACTGTAGTGTTTGATCCTAGTGTTGTGTTAGACTCTACTGTAGTGTTTGATCCTAGTGTTGTGTTTGACTACTGTAGTGTTTGATCCTAGTGTTGTGTTAGACTCTACTGTAGTGTTTGATCCTAGTGTTGTGTTAGACTCTACTGTAGTGTTTGATCCTAGTGTTGTGTTAGACTCTACTGTAGTGTTTGATCCTAGTGTTGTGTTAGACTCTACTGTAGTGTTTGATCCTAGTGTTGTGTTTGACTCTACTGTAGTGTTTGATCCTAGTGTTGTGTTTGACTCTACTGTAGTGTTTGATTCTACTGTTTTGTTTTACTCCACTGTAGTATTTGATCCTAGTGTTGTGTTTGATTCTTCTTTTTTTTATCGTAATGTTGTGATTCAATCTTTGACTTTACTGTTTTGACTTTTCAGGTGAAAGTGTACGAGTTGAAGTTTGGTCACAGTGGCCATGTGTACCTGAGCGTGTCAAGGGAGACAAGTGCTGCACTGCCCGGTGATGTGGTGGAGCTCAATGGCTTGTACGCCAACAAACTGGGCCTCAAGAGTGGGGAGGAGGTAGGCCATATATAGGTTTTCACGCATCCAAGTGTTTTATCATAGACATTTATTGTAACATTATGTTAAAAAAAAATATTTAAATGTAAAACAGTAAATTCATGTACCTGTATGTAACACACTGGCACAGTTTCTTCTTTTTGATCCTCCAAAAAGCATGATTAGGTGTTGCCCAGATTCACTCACTTTTGTTTGTTGTTTAACACCACACTCAGCTATATTCCGGCTATATGACGGCAGTCTGTAAATATAGAGTCTGGACGAGACAATCCAGTGATTGACATCATGAACATTGATCCACACAATTAGGATACAATGACATGTATTAACCATGCCAGCGAAAAGGCCCAGGAGTTAAACATCTAATGTAGTGTCTCAAAGGCTGAGCCGAGGGGAGACACACCAACACAACCGGACATATCGATGGGGTGGGCAAGACAAGGGTTACCATGTTCCCGAGGCAAGGGAGTTAACTGAGTATAAAAGTCCAGTTTCCACCCTTCCACTATCCTCGGAGTTTCGTGGCTCAATCATAGCGCCACCAGTGGCTGTTACGGGTTATGTCCTTTCTATGTCCCTCCTGTTGACCAATCAGGTTCCACCTCTCGTATCACTTGCATTTGCTCCAACAAAATGGCAGCACCCAGTGAAGATGATCTTATCAATAATCAAGATCTGTATTGTAATAAAACAGGTCTTACCTGGCGAAGTGCACCAAATTAATTGACCACCTTCATGAGAAACATAAAAAGATTTGGAAAATGTCTGTCAACCGCAAGTTAATGGTACACATGCTTTGCAAATCCTGCCTTGACTGATATCTGCAAATTTATGAACGGTATGTCGATTAAATTATTGATTTTGATTGGACTATGCATAAAATTGTTAGTCCAGCCAAAACATATCTTAAAATTCCAGCCTAGTTCAGCAAGGGTGGAAACTGGACTTACGTGGACTGGCTACCTCATATGAGGTTTACTCACACATGACACGATGGTACAAACATACAAGGGAGGCAACTCTTGTGGTCCTAATACTGGCAGTACTGATATGGCAGTAGAGCTGTCTACAGTTACATACCATCAGGTTGTTGGTTGGTTGGTTTGTTGTTAGCACTTAGCAGTATTCCAGCTATATATCGGCGGTATGTAAATAATCGAGTCTCGACCAGACAATCCAGTGATGAATCATGAGCATCGATCCACGCAATTGGGATTGATGACATGCATCAACCAAGTCGACAAGCTTGACCACCCGATCCCATTAGTTGCCTCTTACGACAAGCATAGTCGCCTTTTACGGCAAGCATGGGTTGCTGAAGACCTATTCTACACTGGATCTTCATGGATCTACCACCAGGTAAATCACTGCAGTCAGGGTAGGTACATGTGTTTAACCGTCAGACAAGTATCGGTATGTATTGTCTCATGTTGCAGGTGATCCTGAAGGCACTGAGGAACCCTGGGACTGCTCGTCGTGTGTCAGTCGAACCACAGTCCGTGGATGATTGGGAGATCCTGGTAACTATTTTATTATTTGAGCACACTGACCTGGGAAAGTACTTGAATTTTTATTAAGTACTTAACATGAGTACTTGACATTAAGGATTAGTGAGTAAATGAGTTGGGTTTAATGCCGCTTTTAACATTATTGCAGTTATGTCATGGTGTGTCAGCTAAATGTGGGAGGAAAGCCCGAAGTGATGCAGGTCTCAGACGTTTACGGGTATGGTGCTGACAAACCTAGAAACATAATCGGGGCAGACCGGATTTCGAATACACAATCATAGGTTTCTGGCGTGCCCAAGGGACGCAACTCTGCACAGCGAATTGCACCCATTAGACAACTGGACCACCTGTGCCCCCCATTAAGGAATAGATGGTTTGTCTTCCTAGAAAAGTACCAGTATTCAAATTGGACACATTGATGTATATTATATAAGGATAACGCTATTTTTCAGGGCATTATCATTTGCAGAAGCCCGAGGTCTTCCACTGACCGAGTGCTTCTGCAAATGATAATGCCCTGAAAAATAGCGTTACGATTATTACAGCTAAAATGGATAGAATTTGTTATCAAATAAAATAAACAACAATATCGGTTTTGAAACATTTAGTGCAATCAACATGAATGTCACTGACCAACTTTTACAAATATGGAAACGTCATAGAACAAACCAGATGACGTCACTATTGAACGTGACGTCACCTATCCCTATCCCTTTGACGTCACCTAACAACTGGCGTGATAATGGCCCCTCGTCAAGCAATATGAGGGCATTATCAAGTTACAGTGGCCCGCTCATTTTAAACATGCGGGCGGTTTAATGATAATTCTATCCATTTTAGCTATAATATACAGTAAACTACATTTATTACGAAGACGCTTATAATGAACTGACGGATATAACGAACAGTTGTTTATGTCCCGGCCATTTGATGTGTATGTAGCGGCCATAAAATTAGTCCCGTGATGGGATTCGAACCACGGACCTCTTGATCCGAGGTCGGATGCCTTGTCCACATGACCAAAGAGGTTAACCCCGTCAGCAAGCTGACAAGGTAGGAATGTCATCTGTGGGATGACTCCACGCCCTGCTACATATATATGCTGTAAATATTCAATTCATTGTTGGGTTGAATATGAACCTTGTTTTCTGACAAATTCATTGTTATATTGTGTTTGACTGTAGTGTTGTATCGTTTGACTTTATTGTTGAAATATGTTTGACGCTAGTGTTGTGATATGTTTGACTTTAGTGTTGTGTTGTCGTTGACATTTGTGCTGTATTTGACTCAAGCATTGTGTTGTGTTTGACTGTAGTGTTGTCACTGACCCAAGTGTTGTGTTTGACCCTAGAATATTGTTTGGTGTTTGATGTCTAATATCGTGGTTGGACCTGGAATTGGGTTTAACTCTCGTGTTGTGTTTGACTAACAGCTGTATTTGACCTTAGTGTTGTGTTTGACCGTGGAATAGTTTTTGTCTCTCGAGTCTTGTTTGACCCGAGAGTATTGTTTGACTCAGGGAGGTGTTTGACAGTGGTCATGGTCGTGTTATGTTTCACCCTAGTAAAGTGTTGGAATCTTATGTTGTGTTTGACCACCCTAGTAAAGTGTTGGACTCTTATGTTGTGTTTGACCACCCCACTATAGTGTTTGCCCCTATTTTGAGGTTTCACTTTGACATTAGTGTTGTGTTTGACTGTAGTTTGTTTTTGTCTCTTATTTGTTTGTTTGTTGTTTGACGCCGCTCTCAGCAATATTCCAGCTATATGACGGCGGTCTGTAAGTAATTGAATCTGGACCAGACAATCCTGTGATTGACATCCTTAGCATCAATCCATGCAATTGGAATATGATGACATGCATCAGCCAAGTCAGCGAGCCTGACCACTCGATCCCGTTAGTCGTCTCTTACGGCAAGCATGTGTTGCTGAAGACCTATTCTACCCCGGATTTTTGTCTCTTGTATAATGTTTGACCCCATTCATCACCACTCGCCCCTTTCCGTCACCTGCAAGAAGACTCGTCCCCCTATCGATGAATGTTATGTGCGAAAAAACGAGAAACCAATCAGAATGAGCGTATGATTTCAAGTTCTTCGTCAAAGAATCCCTCAGAAATAATTTTTGATTTTACATATGTCTTGCATCTAAAAATATACCCAAGACAGAGTTAAATGTGTTCAATCATACTGTATAATTCCGCATGTCCCAATGTGCTTTAATTTGCATCTGAACTATATATAATATATTGGGAGATATAAGTGAACCATTACGCAACGAGTTGACAATTGTTTTGGGTATGCCCGTTTGTGCAAAGACAGAACCCGGTCACAAAAATGGCCACGAGATGGGCACGAGTCGATATTTGGCTTGTCCCGGAATAACACGAGTTGGTCACGAATGGTTTGACCCTAGTTTATTGTTTGACTCTTGTGTTGTGTTTGATTCTAGTGTAGTGTTTTACTCTAGTGTTGTATTTGACCAAGTGTTGTGTTTGACTCTAGTATTGTGCTACAGGAGCAGCACACAGTGTTTGTGGTTTGACCCTAGTTTATTGTTTGACTTTTGTGTTGTGTTTGATTCTAGTGTAGTGTTTTACTCTAGTGTTGTATTTGACCAAGTGTTGTGTTTGACTCTAGTGCTGTGTTTGACTCTAGTGTTGTGTTTGACTCTAGTCCTGTGTTTGACTCTAGTGTTGTGTTTGACCCTAGTATAGTGTTTGACTCTAGTGTCGTGTTTGACAGTAGTGTTTGACTCCAGTGTTGTGTTACAGGAGCAGCACACAGTGTTTGTGGAGACACACATGCTGGACCAGGTGCGTGTGGTGTGGCCGGGGCAGGTGCTCCCTCTCTGGGTGTCCAAGTCCGTCTGTATTTTCCTCATTGTTGGTAAGTCAGTCAGGCCATTCTTCTACTCCAGGCTTGGGCCTCTGAGCTAGTGGAGCCAAACACTTGGTAGTGTCGGCCTGCTAGTGTCATGTTTGTTGTCAGTCCAGTAGGGCTGGTACTACCCGAGTAGTAACTCGGGTACTTTGGTCAGGTGGATACTGAGCAGGACCCGGGTACCCACTGGACTACCCGGACCCGTGCTTAGTCACATGATATATTGTTTAATGACAAAAGTTATCTAAAACTCAATGGTCACACTACAAGTCACTAATGTTCCCATTTCTTTCTGACAATGCACCCATTCCTTCTGACTTTTATATGTTTGAAAAAAAGATAAGACTTCTTGCTGTGAACTTCAGTGTTTGCATGACCAGATCGTTTTATACGTGTATCTAAGTACATTTTGCTAGGGATACTTTTCCCAATCGGACAGTTTGTAGCTATCTCTTGAGACCTACAGCGGGCACCCAGGTGGGGTCGGGTAATAGCAGGATGGACACCTGGGTAGTAAATTTTGACTTGTCCTAGTCATACATACATGCTGTAAGCTCTTTGCCTAGCTAAAATCTAGTGTGATCACATTTCACTTACAAAATCTCCATTGACAATCTAGGACAGAATTGTTTCACAGCATGCCATGAGAGTCGTTAGAGCTAAGTACAATGATTAACAGACGATTGCACAGGGATTTTGCTTCAGACAAGTGCAATAGGGCATTTTTGATGGGACATTCTTTGATATCTTTACCAAATTTGAAAAATGTCCTTGTCATCCTACTCCAGTTTAGGTGGATTGATGCTCGTACTATCAACCACTGGTTTTTCAGGCCCAGATTTGGTCCCTGACACCCCGACCCGTGAAGATCCGGGGTAGAATAGGTCTTCAGCAACCCATGCTTGCCGTAAAAGGCAACTATGCTTGTGGTAAGAGGCGACTAACAGGATTGGGTGGTCAGGCTGGCTGACTTGGTTGATGCAGGTCATTGATCCTAATTGCATGGATCGGTGCTCATGATATCAATCACTGGATTGTCTGGTCCAGACTCGATTATTTAGAGACTGCCATCATATAGCTGGAATATTGCTGAGTGCGGCGTAAATCAACAAACCAACCAATCGACCCTGACACCCACTATGATACAGTTGTAATACTGCTGACCAGAGCCTAAAATATGCATAATAAACATCGCCTTTCCCCAATTAGTTTTTAGTTGCTTGCATATGATTTTGAAAATGTCTTAACAAAATGTGTCGAAGTGCTTGCAGTGCTTTATAAGACCATCTTCTGGAGGCAAGAGAGTTAACTGACTTTAAAAGTCCAGTTTCCATCCTTGCCGAACTAGGCAGGAATTACTGGGCTCAATCGTAGCGCCACCAGTGGCTATAACTAGTTACGTCCCTGTTAAGCCTTTCCTATGGACCAATCAGATTCAATCACTTGCGTTTGCTTCACACAAAATGGTGGCGCCCAGTCAGGACGATCTGATTGATATTGATCTATATTGTGATAAAACATGTCTTACATCGCCAAATGCATCAAATCATGTAAGTACCTTGATTAAAAACATGAAAAGATTTGGAAAATATCTACTGACAACGAGTTGGCGGTGCACATGCTTTGCAAATCCTGCAATCCATCGAAATCTGCATGACAGTTTACGAACCGGATTTCGATTTCGGTGTGCGATTTTGATTGGACTATGCATAGACTCGTTAGTCCAGCCAAAATATAACTCCATAATACCAGCCTAGTTCGGCAAGGGTTGAAACTGGACTTTTATAGTCTGTTAACTCTCTTGCCTCGGGAAGATGTATAAGACATGCTGGTCAGACTCAGTGGCTTGGTTCATTGCTCCTACAGTTTGAAACGTGGTCACAATATCAATCACTGGTTTGTCTGGTCCAGGCTTGATTATTTACAGGTTGCTGTGATATAGCTAGAATACTGTAAATCTGGAAATTAATGGATCTCCAAATTAATGCGACTGCTGACCCCTAGCCAAAAATGTGACTCACTATCAATGCGACTTCCCCCCCCCCTTGCCAAGTGGAATGATGCATATCCTTACCTTAATCCAATCAAACAGCTAATGCGAAAGAAGACCACTCACATTTTTCGCATTTAATTCACACTCGCGTTGATTTCAAGATTTACAGTATTACTTAATGCAGCATTAAACAAAAAAAATGTAAACAAAATAAACCAAAACGTCACGTTCTGTTTCCAGTGAGCGTGGACCCATCCTCATCTTATGCCGTACTAGACAATGCCACTGAGGTTATCGTGGCCCCCAAGATCAGGAACCATGCTGCAGATGCCAGAAGGTCATCCCAGGAAAGGAAAAAGTCTGGTCAAGAGGATGGCAAAAGACCGGAATCATCTCTCCGACAGAGGAAAAGTAAGAGTGACCCCTACCCGGGTATGTATGCCGGCAACACGCAGGCCAACCTGAAGGAACTGGGGAGGAAGATGTCTCTAGCCAACGAGACCGAGAGACGCGGACCCAGACGTCTCATTAAACGTCAGTCGTCTATGATGGAGCATTTCTGGGCATATATGTATTCGTGGTTACCGATCAGTGACTATTACACGTCCGACAAGGAGACGGAGAAAACGTCGTTCGAGATAGAGGAGAAGGAAACGTTTGTCTTACAACGACACAATTTTGTGTTCCGGACTCAGGCAATGAAGTTTTTGTGCAATCCGGAAGAGTTGTTGAAGACCTCAGTGCTACAGAACATGCCAAAGTCTTTATCCAGAGCCAAGGCTCGTAAGAAACACCAGATGAAGAATGCACCGTCAACTCTGGATCCAGAATTCCAGCCTGACAAGCAGAACACAGGCAAGGAGCAAAGTTCAGCCACCCCAGAACTGTTTCAACCGTCGATGGTGTTTGTTAAAGTTGATGATGTTTTAAAACAAACTGAGACTAACTTTGTGCAGGCCAACCTCCCCCGAGTCTTCTATGCTCAACTGAGGAAGCTTTCTTCTCCCAAAGAAACGGGTACGGAGGAAAAAAAGAAATCGGACGTGAAACGGACAATGTCTGCTGGAGGTGCTGATAAGAGAGGTGCCAAGCCTCCTGTCGGGAGGGCCCCCGAAACGTCGGAAAGTGATGGGGAGGGGGATGTCTGTGCCATCGTGCGTGTTGTGACCATTGAGAGACAAGGATCGCTGTGTGACAGTCGCTGGACAAACTGTGTCGAGAGACTGCTCCAGGAGCAGCCATTTCTCAGTGGGCATGTCATAGTCCCCGACCTTTTGAGACGGCAGATGAAACTGGATGTAACTGGACGAGTCTGGTTGCAGACAGTCCAGTCCGAGCCGGTTACAGTGAGGAAGCTGCAGCTTTTCCCACTGTCTGTTGTGGTAAGATGTTCTGTGTTCGTGTTGCACAGCTTTGTATTTTATGATTTCAAATTTGAATCAATTTCCATAAATTGTCCCTGAAAATGCTTGAAACAATATGCCAGAGTCTGTTGAATACATTGTTTCAGGGTGTTTTTCTTGTAGTTAGGCTATCTGGTTTTTGGAGCTGTAGCTGAAAAATATCTAGTCTCCTTAAAAAATCCTCTCAAAAGCATGTGTCTTATCAAACATGCCCTTTTCCCGTTTTAGCCCCGTCGTGTCAGCCCACATATGATTGTGCTGGCCTTCAAGACGTGGGTGCGACACTGTACAGATGAGGAACACTCGCTGGTTGTGTTCCAGGGCATCATGGTCAAGTTCATGATTTATGCAGGTAGGTGACAAAGTTCATGATTTATACAGGTAGGTGACCAAGTTCATGATTTATGCAGGTAAGTCATCCAGTTCATGATTTATGCGGGTAGTTGATCCAGTTCATGATTTATGCAGGTAGATGTCCAAGTTCATTATTTATGCAGGTAGTTGATCCAGTTCATGATTTATGCAGGTAGTTGATCCGGTTCATGATTTATGAGGGTAGTCGATCCAGTTCATGATTTATGCATGCTGGTGACCAAGTTCATGATGTATGCAGGTAGGTGACCAAGTTCATGATTTATGCGGGTAGGTGACCAAGTTCATGATTTATGCGGGCAGGTGACCAAGTTCATGATTTATGCAGGTAAGACTTCAATTTGAAGGTAAGATTGGGAGCCATGATTGTTATGATTATTTACCCACCTTTGTTGCCTATTTGAGGATTGTAAACATTTTTGAGTTGTGGAAACTATTGAATGGCATAAAACAATCTACTTCACCTTCATCTCGACCAATGAAGATCCGGGGTAGAATAGGTCTTCAACAACCCATTCTTGCCGTTAAAGGTGACTATGCTTGTTGTAAGAGGCCACTAACGGGATCGGGTGGTCAGGCTCGCTGATTTGGTTGATGCATGTCATCGTATCCCGCGTGGATAGATGTTCATGATGTCAATCACTGGATTGTCTGATCCAGACTCGATTTTTACAGACCTCCATCATATAGCTGGAATGTTGCTGAGTGCGGCGTAAAACAACAAACCCACAAACACCTTCATCTCACTATGACAAAGTCTGCGTCCATCTTGCAGGCCTTCACCTTGAGGCACAGTTGACCTTCACCCCTGTTGAGAATGATGGCCGGCAGCAGTACATGTTCCTCCACTCCGAGAACATTGACAACATGGTGATCGGGGTGCAGAAGGATGTTCCCAAAGACGACACCATCATCAGCCCCTTCCTGCCCTTCCGATTTGTGTCGGACTTTGACCCGATGGTCCCGGTCATACAACTGAGACACCTGGGGTGGGTACATCACATCTCACGCTACGACAGCACATCGCTCCCGGTTTTATTGGATGAATATTGCGTGGTATTGTTGCATACAAATTGCGAATGGATTCAAATAATTTACATTGTGAGTGAGTGAGTGAGTGAGTTGGGTTTAACGCAGGGGTCCGGAAACCGTCATATGCGCCGGACATGTCCGATTGGGAATCTCAAATGTCCGTTTTAAAATATTGCTTACCGGACATTTTAAAAAAGTATTGTCCGGACATTCTTAAATTTTGACCGGACATGATCAACAGTTAGGACTGAGCAGTTTCTGTCTGCAGTTGCAACACAATGAAGATTAACTACACTGACAAGCTTTGTTTGTTTTGATTGCTGTAAATACATCGTACCTACATGATAGTCCAATCGGTCAATCACTGTAATAGGCAATAAACTGAGTTGACACTGATTAATCGAGGATTAATTACTGAGAACATCTTGTTAATTTGAGTGAAAGGTGTTTACAACTGTACATTAATACCTTGCATCATCGATGTACCTCATTATCCTCACAATGTTACGATACGTAACCTCAGACAAGAAGCGAAAGCGTGACGACAGCCAGTCGACCGATGCAGATCAGTCGAGCGGATCTGCCAAACCCTCAAAGTCTGGACGATCATTTTGTAAGTCGTGGCTAACGACTTTCACTTGGTTGACATACAATGAGGATTTGCAGATTTTATTGTTTTCAGTAGCTAGTCGTATATTGAATCTTGATTGACCGCCATTTTGCTTTCTCGGACGATCGATATCCAATTTTTTTATGGTCAATAATTAAGTACAGATGAAAAAAGTATTCAAATAACTATTGCTATCAACGATATTTTAGTATTTATGATTAAATTATCTGTCTTGTTTTTAAAAAAAATTTTAGTTTAAAAAAAACCCTTTTCCCGTGAGGTCACGTGATAACCAAATATGGGATAATAGTCTCGATCCAAATGTTACAACGAGTACACTTGAGCAGACTCATGATTATAACTCATGAATATTAATTAGACCGTTCACTACGTTAACAAATCGTTATTATAACAGAAACAAACGTATGTTTTCCATGTAAATCTAAAATGATATTATTTGTTATTAATTGTCTGGTGAATTAAACAATTTAAATTGAAACAATTCATAATTCATCATATTATGAATACGTAAACTTGTAATGTGTGTGAAAAGTCGTACTAAAATACGCTATTTGAAGGGGGCGTGGCCTAAATGCAAATGTCCGATTGGGATTTTAAATTTTCCGGACCCCTGGTTTAACGCCGCTTTTAACAGTATTACAGTTATATCACGGCGTGTCAGCTTAATGTGGGAGGAAAGACCGAAGTGATGCAGGTCTCAGACGTTTACCACTTCGGTGAAACCCACGAGCACGGGTATGGTGCTGACAAACCTAGAAACATAATCGGGGCGAATCGGGATTCGAACCCACAATCATAAGTTTCTGGCGTGCCCAAGGGACGCAACTCTGCACAGCGAATCGCGGCGCCTTAGACGACTGGGCCACCCGTGCCCCCATTTACATTGTGAGCCCTGGGTGAAGCAAAAATGTTTGTGTGTTAACGTTAACAAGGTTAACAGGCAGAGTTGATGGGTTTCGGGCGCATTTGTCAGAGTATATCTGGCAGTAGAAAGAAACAAATCTGGTCCAAAAAAACACCATGGCGGTAAGGCTTAAAAAAATAATAACCTTGTATTCAGGCACCGCCCGCATCATTATAAAGTTTGCTGCATGTTTCGTTTTTATTATCCCCCGGCCAACAAAGTTTCCATGGCAACAAGATGGACTTAGGTTTCAAACTCTTCTTTTTTTTACAATTTCCATGACAAGTTCCACCTCGGTTAAGGGTTTAGATTTAATTACGTCATTAATTCTGCAACAGGGGCGGGGGATATAGCCACGTTAGTGGCAAACTCTTGTTTCCATTTTCAAAAAAAATCCTAATACTTAAAAACAGTTCGATCCAATATAGCACGCAGTTACTTTGCCTTATATCATGTTGTATATGGCACACTGCTTTACTGCACATCTCGTGTTATGGTCATGGCGGCAATAGGAGTTTGTATGCTTCTTTATGTAGGGAGGCCCTTTCCCAGGTTGATGGTACACAACTGTTTGTCTGGTCACATGCTAGTTTGAACACTCAACCAAAAAAACAACAACCGCCCACCTGCACTATGGTCATTGCCTAACAACCAATTCTTTTATTTTTTTAAACCTGATATAGAAAACATTTAATGTAGGTGGTAGAGGATTTTTTTATTTCCTCCATTGGCAGCCTAGTGGTTAAAGCTTTAGCTCGTTAAGCATAGACCCGGGTTTAATTCCCCACGTGTACAATGTGTGAAGCCCTCTTGTGTCCCCTGCTGACATATTGCTGGAAAATTGCTCAAAGCAGCATAAAACTCATCTTCCTCAGACAAGAGAGTTAACTGACTTTAAAAGTCCCGTTTCCACCCTTGATGAACTAGGCTGGAATATCTGGGCTCGATCGCAGCGCCACCAGTGGCTATTACGAGTTATGTCCCTATGGACCAATCAGATTCCACCTCTCGTATCACTTGCGTTTGCTTCACACAAAAGTATGGCGCCCAGTCAGGACGATCTGATCGATAATCAAGGTCTAATGTAGGGATTTACCTGAGATTTATTTTGGAGGTCCAAGGGACTACAACCTTTAGTTTAGTGGAGCAGCAAAGTGTCACTAAGGGACCGGATTGTTCATATTGAGTTAGAATCATGAACTTTGTACAGTAAAACCTGGTGATTAATTTTGGCTCTAGGACTATGCAAAATGGCACCATTTGCAATATGGCCTGAAATTCTGCCTGTTCCTTGGCCGTGTCCATGGAGGGTGCAAATGAAGTTATTGTCCAGAAGAACTGACAATTTTTGTTAGTATGGAACCCAAATAGTATTGTGATGTGAGTAAATATGTTGAAAAGTGCAAAACAAATGGTTTAAGTGCTAATTTTAAGTTCCAAATGAACGAAAAGAAAAAAATCAACATTTTATCGGGGTTGATTGCAGGATTTGCAGAGCATGTGTACTGTCAACACAGTACACAGACTTTTTCCAAATGTTTTCATGTTTTTTATAAAGATCTTGATTATCGATCAGTCCATCTGGACTGGGCGCAGCCGTATTGTGGAATCTGATTGGTCAATAGGAGGAACATAGAAGGGACATGAACATTAATAGCCACTGATGGCGCTTAGATTGAGCCACGAAATTCCCACCTAGTTAGGCAAGGGTCGAAACTGGTCTTTTATGTATAGGATAAAACACGTCCAAGGGTTGTTATGATATTTAAAACCCGCATCCCGAATGATTTTCTGAGGGAAATGGTTTTAAATTGCGATTTATCAACGCCTCTGTAGCCTTGTGGTACACTCACTGGACTACAGAAAAGAAGGTTACGTGTTCGATCCTCGGGAATAGAAAGAAAATATTTGTCATTTGATTTTACATTTCATTACATGTTACAATCTGAACGTAAGTTGTATCAGTAAAATACCCAGGACATTATATAAAATCCATCGGATTTTATAACACATTATATAGCAAATATGACTTGAATATCCTATAAAATCCCGGGGATATAATATAAAATCCCAGGGACATTACAGCGTCCCTGTTTATGAGATTTAACCCGACCAGAGAACAATAGGATGACTTCACTGGAGGTTTATAAGTATTGGAGAAAACACGCTCACGAGGTTTTGGTAGACAGAGCATACCCTGGGGAGAGGGAAAAACCAAAGGGGCGAAGCCCCCGCGGTTTTTCCGACCCCCAGGGCATTCTCTGTCTACCAAAACCGAGGGAAAGTGTTTTTCCATGCTTATAAACCAAAAAAGAAACTTAAAACAACATTTTTCAACATTTTTATGTTTGGAACATACTTTCCATGAACCTTAGGAAACGCGGGTAAAATATCTGTTGCTGGTGTACGGATCTTGAAAAGGACATTCTAAAAACCAGTGAGTCTTATCAACACCTCTGTAGCCTCGTGGTACACTCACTGGGCTACAGATATGAAGGTTGCGAGTTCGATCCTCGGGAATAGAAAGAAAACATTTGTCATTTGATTTTACATTTCATTACATGTTACAATCTGAACGGAAGTTATATTAATAAAATACCCAGGACATTATATAATATCTCTGGGATATTATATAAAATCCCAGGGGACATTACAACGTCCCTGTTTATGAGATTAAAGTAAAACCTCACAATAGGTTTTAATGCCTATAGAAAGAAGTCTCTTACTTAATAGCGATCCCAATGAATAGGTTTATAAAGTCAGTTAACTCCCTTGCCTCAGGAAGATGGAAAAATCTAGGACAGGTGGAACAATAGTCAACTGTACGTCGCTTAGATAATATCTGGAGAGATTTTCAGTCCCTGTTATAACTGTTGTATTTGGTGTTTAGTGGAATCGACAAACTGGCGGAGCAAGCACTGTACCACCTAGAGGCTTGTCTTGGTGCCCGGAAGCTGTCCAAGACCATGTTCTCCAGCAGCCCTGGGCTGCATAATGGCATCCTGCTGATCACTGGGCCAAAGGGATCGGGGAAGACTTCCTTCGGGAAGGCCCTCTGTAGGCAGTTAGCCGAACTACCTGTGATGGCACAGACTGCCGTCATTGACTGTAAGCCTCTCAGAGGTAAGTCTTTTCTGAAGACTCTGGATCCGTGAAGATCCGGGGTAGAATTGGTCTTCAGCAACCTGTGCTGGTCATAAGAGGGGACTAAATGGATCGAGGGGTCAGGCCTTTTAGCTGCGTGTCTTCATTCCATGACGTTGCTCAAAATATCTATCACTGGATTGTCTGGTCCAGACTCATAATCATGATCGATTGGGCAGGATTCATTTATCATCTAGGGTGGTGGGGTAGCCTAGTGGTTAGAGTGTCCACTGGTCACATTTCGAAGACCCGGGTTCTAGTCCCCACATGGGTACAATGTGTGAAGCCCATTTCCGGTGTCCCTTGCCATGATATTGCTGGACTGTTGCCAGAAGTGAGAAAAACTTAGTCTCTCAGACATATGTCGTCTTTAAGACGTTTATAAGTTTTAGTATCCATCTATATTTATGTCTTTGGAGTTCATATAGTCAGACTTAACCCCTCTTGTCATCAGGTAAGCGTGTTGAGAACATGCAGAAAGTGCTGGAGAACCTTTTTGATGAGGCAGCATGGCGGCAGCCGGCAGTCATCTTCCTCGACGACCTGGACGTCATCGCAGGGGCTGCTTCTGGTCCGGAAGCTGAGATGTCCGGGGAAGCCCTGTATGCTGCTAAAGTGGCCGAGAGTAAGTCATCATCAGACATTCTTGCTTGTTATGACCGATATCCAAGCATTTTGGGAGATTCATCTTGTTAAGTTTCTGGCATTCATTCTCAAATCATGGACACAGATAATCTCTCCTGAGTGTCTTTCGATGTGAAATATGTTGATAAAGATTTAAAACTGTTAGGCTTGCCAACTGTTGATATATTTGATATCAAAAGGGTGAGATTCTATTTATCGTCCAAAGTTGTTGTTCCAGCTGTTTTAGTTTGTAAACAGTAATAGCCAGTGTCTTGAGTGTAAAAAGTAGAGCTGATCAGCTTCAGTAGCAGAGAGATAAGTGATGTCATTTGACTGTGATGTCATGGTAATCTATGACATCACAATGGCCTGCAAATTTTTGTGATGCAATTTTAATGCAGAGGTATTTCCTACTAATTCCTGGAGATATATTTATTTATTACTTGCCATTTATAACTTTTTTTTAGAATTTCACTGTCGTGTATGATTAGGCAGACACCTACACGATCCATAACGTAATCCTTTTGAGTTTAGCAGAATAATACTTAAAAAACGTAAAAAGTTGACATGTATTAATTTATTACCATACAACATTCTACATTTAGAATTCAGGCGTCTGTTCCACAAAACTATCGTAGCGCTAAGGTTATCGGTACTCACATACTTTAACTGAAACTTCAACTGTTGTTGCGATGCAATACGATCACCTTGTGGAACGGGACCTGCACCACAAAGTTTTCAATAACGTCACAATACTCTATGATGTGATTTGTGGAATTTTGTTGCAAGATCCACAGGCAAAACAACGCCATGTGACATCAGCCTAGCATAATCTCCTCTCAGTGGTCTTTCATCTCCTCACGCAATAACTTAAGAGAGCACTTTCAATGTTCGTTAGTAGAACCCGTTCCCGCCGTACATGAGCACATGCTTTTACAGCTGTATGTTTATTAAACAGGTGATCTCTTCACGGGCAAGTAATGAATAGAGATTACTAAACGATCTCCAAGTTTATGAAACAAGTGAATAGTTCTGGTTCTCGCTCATCAGATACGAGAGCGAGTTCAGTATTTTATTTATTACTTGCTGCCAATAACTTTTTTAAAATTTCACTGTCGTTTGTGAGAAGGCAGACATCAATGCGATCCACAGCATAATTCTATTGAGTTTAACAGAATCATACTTCAAACACATCAAAAGTTGACACGAATTAATTTAATAACAGTCTACCTTTAGAATTCCTGAGTCCATTCCTCAAAGCTATCGTAGCGCTAAGGTTATCGTAACTCATAGACTGAGGATTGTTTTTGCCTTATGATTGCCTTGTGGACGGGCGATCCACCACAAAACTAAAAATCACATCACAATCATCTATGACATAGTTTGTGGAATTTTGTTGCACAACTCACCGGCGAAAGAATGTCATGTAACATGACATGTAACATGACATTTCTTGGTTGCAACGAGTGTGCATAAGCTCCTCTCAGTGATCTATCATCTCTACAACCAATGTCGTTGAATAAGCCGAGGGATATTGGTAGTTTTCAATATTGATTAGTGAAACTTGTGCGCACAGTTCATAAGCACGTGCTTTGGTATTACACATTGTGTGTGACCCCGTGAAGATTCCGGGGTAGAGTAGGTCTTCAGCAACCCATGCTTGCCGTAAAAGGTGACAATGCTTGTAGTAAGAGGCGACTAATGGGATTGGGTGGTCAGGCTCGCTGACTTGGTTGATGCATGTCATCGATCCCAATTCCGTGGATCGATGCTCATGATATTAATCACTGGATTGTCTGGTCCAGACTCGATTATTTACAGGCCACCGTCATATAGCTGGAATATTGCTGAGTGCGGCGTAAAACAACAAACCAACCAACAACACAATGTGTAATACAGCTATATGTTTATTAAATGGGTGATCTCTTCTCGGACGAGTAATAAAATGAGATATTCTTCATCTCACCAACAAGATATTCCCTGTGAAAGCCTCTGGATGAAAACATCAAAGAATTGGTTCTCAGGCAATGACTTTTGAAAATACATGTATTTTTTTCGATGTTTGTTTTCTTTTTGCTTGTTGAAAGTGGCATGTAACCAAATAAACAGTTGTGTACCTTCAACCTGGGAAAGGGCCTCCCTCCATAAATAAGCATACAAACACCTATTGCCACTCTGACCATAACACGAGAGAGCCGCTCGTGACGCCGAAGATTCGGGTTCGATTCCCGACATGGGTACAATGTGTGAAGCCCAGTTCTGGTGTCCCATATTGCTGAAATATTGCTAAAAGCGGCGTAAAACCAAACTCGCACCCTCCCTCACCATAACACGAGATGCACAGTAGAGCAGTGGAAGTAAAGGGAAGTAACTGCGTGGTATATTGCATCGCATTGTTTTAAGTCTTAATATTTTTTTATTTTTTTAAAATGGAAATAAAACGAAACATGCGGCAGACTTTATGATGATGCGAGTGGTGCCTGGGAACCAAGACTTTTATTATTTTAGCCAAAGACAAAGATATACCAATGTTCATCCCACTGAACGGTCAGTGCTCCACAAGGCCTGCAGAAGAGGGATTGTACGTCAGGGGATGCAAGAAAATGATGGGGTCACTCCTTACTTCTGAACAAATTCCGTTCAGTATGTAGGTTTGGTAGCTTGGCTCTGAAGGTTGTAGCATAAACTGACGTAAGAATGTTGATAAACTGTTTCAGTGATTCAGAGTTTGGTGAAGTTTGAGATCAACAACGACAGCCACATAGCAGTGATTGCCACCAGCCAATCAACTGCTTCCTTACATCCTAGTCTGATGTCGTCGCGAGGAGCCCACTTCATCCAGGAGACGGTCTCAATCAATCCCCCGGACAAGGTAGGAGTCGGTAGAATTATCTTGTCGCTACAGGAAATTAGAAACATTTCGGTATTCTAGTTATATTTTGAGTGAATCCATTGCACAATTCCCTCTTTTAAGTTTGCAAATTGATAGACTTTTTTGGACTGTGTTTTGTGAAGATCTAACTTTTAACAATGAAATTGTGTACATGTTAACTACTGATGGGCCCGCATCAGGAGCCAGGTTCAGCAACTCCTGCTTGTTGTAAGAGGTGACCCATCAAACAAACAAAGTTACAAAGAGGCACACATTTTGGCTTCTGATTGGCCATGTGGTTCTCAGTACCACCCTGGTGATTCTAAATTAACTCTCATATTTAACCGAAGTGTGACTGTTTTCAACGAAGATGAATCAAATGAAGAGCTTTAAATCATGCAATGTGGTGGCATAGGTACCGTATTCGACGTAATAAGCTCCCCGCTCTAATAAGCGCCCACGGGGGTATTTGCTAATATATATTGGCTAGTGAACAATCCCAATTAGCACCCCTTCCGATTGATCAATGTGAACAAGACTTAACTATTCACGTACAATACGCACTTGTGTGTTATATGCACCCTTAATTATGGGCAATTAAATTCTAGAAACATATATCTGTCGTACATAAACATTTCAGGCTGTCAGCTTAAACCATGAAATTTATCTTTCAACCCTGTTTTTTTCACCAAAATAATATTCTAATAAGAACCGCTTATAACATTGTTATTGAGTGAGCACAGGAGTTGTTTCATTGAGATCGCTTGCTTACATGCCTCCGATTAAACTGGACTTTAGTCGTGTCTGTAATGTTATGACCAGTAGAAAAGACACATTGGAAGACTGACTGACTTGTTGATAGATACAATCACTAGGTTATCTCTATAAAATCAAACGTTTCAGGCTAAAAAAAACTAATAGTCTTGGTTCTCAGGCACCGCCTGCTTCATCATAAAGTCTGCTGCACGTTTTGTTTTTGTTTCCATTTTCAATTTTTTTTTACAAAATCCTAAGACTTAAAAACAAAGCAATCCAATATAGCACACAGTTACTTCCCTTTACATGTGCACTGCTTTACTGCGCATCTCATTTTATCGTCATGGTGGCAATAGATTTGGCCTTCAGCAACTCATGCTTGGCATAAGAGGCGACTATTAACGGTATCGGGTGGTCAGGCTTGCTGACTTTGTTGATGTATATCTTGAGAACCAATGCTTCCTTCATCTAAATTGGGCAGTCAAAGGTCGCTCAGTGTTCACCTGATGCGACCTTCTGTGGGGGTGTCTTCATATCTTCAGTGAGAGATGTATTGTATTGGAGTACAAGACCTGAATATAATAAGATTGAGAGTGATTGTGACGCATACAGTTATCACCAGATTGAATGGGACTCTATTGCCTGTGTCTTGTGTTTGCTGCAGGTGGGGAGGAGAGAGATCATGTCTTCCATTATCAGGAACAAGACGTGCGTTTCTTCAGCAACATTCAACGCCATAAATATGGACGACATCATCAACAAGACAGAAGGCTTCGTAGCTCGTGACCTGGAACATGCTGTCAACAGGGCCATTCATGCCAAGTTCCTTGTGGATGGTAAGTCACTCGTCATCACACAGTGAACAGGACAAGGTCTATGAGCAGGGACCCAGGTGGTCCAGTGGTCTGAGGTGTCATCCCTCTGTGTGGAGTTGCTTCCTATTATTGCAGATCATGAGTTTGAGTTCCAGGTTTCCTGGCCAACCCACGCCACAGCCCCACCCCGCACCATCTTGCATCATCGTATCTCAATTGCGTGGATCGATGCTCAAGATATCAATCACTGGATTGTCTGGTCCAGACTCGATTATTAACAGAGCACCGTCATATAGCTGGAATGTTGCTGAGTGCGGCATCAAACAACCAACCATCTTGCCCCACCCTACAGAAGTCTGTATAACGATTAGCCGACCCTCACCACACAGCCCAACCTAATCCAACACCACACCACACCATCTCACCCCACTCTATAGATGCTTGTAACTTGATTGCCCACCCCACACCACACAGCCCCACCCCTCACAGCACCATCTTTCCCCACCCTACAGATGCATGTATATAGATTGACAGAACCACACCACACACCACACATCCCACCCCACACCACACATCCCCAACCCTCACAGCACCATCTTTCCCCACCCTACAGATGCATGTATATATAGATTGACAGAACCACACCACACACCACACAGACCCCACCCCTCACCGCACCATCTCACCCCACCCTACAGATGCCTGTATATAGATTGACAGAACCACACCACACAACCCCACCCAACACCTCACAGCCCCAACACACCCCACACATCCCACCCCTCACCACACAGCCCCAGCCCTCACCGCACCATCTCACCCCACCCTACAGATGCCTGTATATAGATTGACAGAACCACACCACACAACCCCATCCAACACCTCACAGCCCCAACACACCCCAAACATCCCACCCCACACCACACAGCCCCAACCCTCACTGCACCATCTTGTCCCACCCTACAGATGCCTGTATATAGATTGACAGAACCACACCACACACCACACAGCCCCCACCCAACACCTCACAGCCCCAACACACCCCACACATCCCACCCCACCCTCACTGCACCATCTTGTCCCACCCTACAGATGCTTGCATATGGACTGGCTGACCCACACCACACATCCACACCTCACCGCACCATCTTGTCCCACCCTACAGATGCTTGTAAGTGGATTGAATGACCCAAACCACAGCCCCACCCAACACCACACGTCCCACCCTACAGATGCCTGTATATTGCCTGGCTGACCCACACCACACAGCCCCACCCCACTCCACACAGATACCCCACACCATCTTTCCCCAACCTACATATACCAGACCAGACTGACACCACACCCTCTCACCCCACCCTACAGATTTCTTGTAACTTGATTGCCCCCCGACACCACACAGCCCCTGCCCCCACCACACCATCTTTCCCCACCCTACAGATGCATGTATTTGGATTGGGTGACCCACTTTAAGAAATCATAAGAGAGGTTAAACTGTTTACAATATCTGTGTGAAGACTTTATCAAAGGAAGGATACAGCCTTGGATTAACTGAGACTGTGTTATTCAGATGGAGGAGACAAATAAAGGCGTAATCTACATCTCCTCCCTTTCAGCCTCGGTCAACAAGAACGAGGAGATGTGCCTGACGCAGGTGGAGTTTGATGTCGCCCTGGAGGGGTTCCGCCCAGCGTCTCTCAGGAACGTCCAGCTCCATGTGGCCGGGGACCGCGGCTGGGAGGACATTGGTGGACTGACGGAGGTGAAGAAGATGCTGATGGAGACGCTGCAGTGGCCGTCCAAGGTGAGCCAGGGATGCTGGAGGTTGATGTGTTTAGTGCTGTAGTCAGCGATATTCCAGCCAGATCACTGTGGCCTGCTCGTAGTGCAACCCTCAAAAACTAGTACCCTCCCACAGCAAAAAAGGTGTAGGTTTCTGTTTCCCGGAAACGCACCAGAAATCTTTCGGTAACCTTCCTACTTTGAATCTGGCCCAGATACCTTCCGGAAACCTTCGGGATACCTTCAGCAATCTTCAATTTTCTTGTTAAGTTTCAAATATTTGATTATGTGTTTCACACTTATTTGAACAAAATGCACCCACCAATTTTGGCAATTTGTTTTGACAGTTTCTGGAAGGTATCCAGGCTCCCACCTTCAAAGTGGGAAGGTTACCTACACTTTTTAGCTGTGTCTGTCCCTGTGTTGCAATACCCTGAGTCTGTCTCACAGACCTTACAGAATAAATTGTAATTGAATCCAACTCAAGTCTAGAGTTATTTGGCAAGTCTAGACTATACACTTTGTAGTGGGCTCCATTTGGATTATTACTTTTTATTTTGTAGATATATATATATTTAAGGAAGATAACTGCATTTCCAGAACTAAATGTTAGTCTACAGTACCCACAGTACCCTCCCTCTCTCTGCTGCAGTACCCACAGTACCCTCCCTCTCTCTGCTGCAGTACCCACAGTACCTCTCTCTGTGTGCTGCAGTACCCACAGTACCCTCTCTCTCTGCTGCAGCACCCACAGTACCCTCTCTCTGTGTGCTGCAGTACCCACAGTACCCTCTCTTTCTCTGCTGCAGCACCCACAGTACCCTCTCTCTCTGCTGCAGTACCCACAGTACCCTCTCTCTCTGCTGCAGTACCCACAGTACCCTCTCTCTCTGCTGCAGTACCCACAGTACCCTCTCTCTCTCTTCTGCAGTACCTACAGTACCCTCTCTTTCTCTGCTGCAGCACCCACAGTACCCCCTCTCTCTCTCTGCTGCAGTACCTAAAGTACCCTCTCTCTCTCTGCTGCAGTACCCAAAGTACCCTCTGTCTGTGCTGCAGTACCAACAGTACCCTCTCTCAATGTGCTGCAGTACCCACAGTACCCTCTCTCTCTGTGCTGCAGTACCCACAGTACCCTCTCTCTCTCTGCTGCAGTACCCACAGTACCCTTTCTCTCTCTGCTGCAGTACCCACAGTACCCTCTGTCTGTGCTGCAGTACAAACAGTACCCTCTCTCTCTGCTGCAGTACCCACAGTACCCTCTCTTTCTCTGCTGCAGCACCCACAGTACCCTCTCTCTCTGTGTAGTACCCACAGTACACTCTCTCTCTGCTGCAGTACCCACAGTACCCTCTCTCTCTGCTGCAGCACCCACAGTACCCTCTCTCTCTCTGCTGCAGTACCCACAGTACCCCCTCTCTCTCTGCTGCAGTACCCACAGTACCCTCTGTCTCTGCTGCAGCACCCACAGTACCCTCTCTCTCTGCTGCAGTACCCACAGTACCCTCTCTCTGCTGCAGTACCCACAGTACCCTCTCTCTCTGCTGCAGTACCCACAGTACCCTCTCTCTCTGTGCTGCAGTACCCAAAGTACCCTCCCACTCTGCTGCAATACCCACAGTACCCTCTCTCTCTGCTGCAATACCCACAGTACCCTCTCTTTCTCTGCTGCAGTACCCACAGTACCCTCTGTCTGTGCTGCAGTACCCACAGTACCCTCTCTCTCTGCTGCAGTACCCACAGTATCCTCTCTTTCTCTGCTGCAGCACCCACAGTACCCTCTCTCTCTCTGCTGCAGTACCCACAGTACCTCTCTCTCTCTGCTGCAGCACCCACAGAACCCTCTCTCTCTGCTGCAACACCCACAGTACCCTCTCTCTCTGTGCTGCAGTACCCACAGTACCCTCTCTTTCTCTGCTGCAGCACCCACAGTACCCTCTCTCTCTGTGCTGCAGTACCCACAGTACCCTCTCTCTCTGCTGCAGTACCCACAGTACCCTCTCTCTGCTGCAGCACCCACAGTACCCTCTCTCTCTGCTGCAGCACCCACAGTACCCTCTCTCTCTGCTGCAGTACCCACAGTACCCTCTCTCTGTGCTGCAGTACCCACAGTACCCTCTCTCTGCTGCAGTACCCAAAGTACCCTCCCACTCTGCTGCAATACCCACAGTACCCTCTCTCTCTGCTGCAATACCAACAGTACCCTCTCTTTCTCTGCTGCAGTACCCACAGTACCCTCTGTATGTGCTGCAGTGACAACAGTACCCTCTGTCTGTGCTGCAGTACCCACAGTACCCTCTCTTTCTCTGCTGCAGCACCCACAGTACCCTCTCTCTCTCTGCTGCAGTACCCACAGTACCCTCTCTCTCTCTGCTGCAGTACCCAAAGTACCCTCCCACTCTGCTGCAATACCCACAGTACCCTCTCTCTCTGCTGCAATACCCACAGTACCCTCTCTTTCTCTGCTGCAGTACCCACAGTACCCTCTGTCTGTGCTGCAGTAACCACAGTACCCTCTCTCTCTGCTGCAGTACCCACAGTATCCTCTCTTTCTCTGCTGCAGCACCCACAGTACCCTCTCTCTCTGTGCTGCAGTACCCACAGTACCCTCTGTCTGTGCTGCAGTACCAACAGTACCCTCTCTCTCTGTGCTGTAGTACCCACAGTACCCTCTCTCTCTCTGCTGCAGTACCCACAGTACCCTCACTCTCTGCTGCAGTACCCACACTACCCTCTCTCTCTCTGCTGCAGTACCCACAGTACCCTCTCTCTCTGTGCTGCAGTACCCACAGTACCCTCTCTCTCTGCTGCAGTACCCACAGTACCCTCTCTCTCTGCTGCAGTACCCACAGTACCCTCTGTCTGTGCTGCAGCACCCACAGTACCCTCTCTCTCTGTGCTGCAGCACCCACAGTACCCTCTCTCGCTCTGCTGCAGTACCCACAGTACTCTCTCTCTGTGCTGTAGTACCCACAGTACCCTCTCTCTCTCTGCTGCAGTACCCACAGTACCCTCACTCTCTGCTGCAGTACCCACACTACCCTCTCTCTCTCTGCTGCAGTACCCACAGTACCCTCTCTCTCTGTGCTGCAGTACCCACAGTACCCTCTCTCTCTGCTGCAGTACCCACAGTACCCTCTCTCTCTGCTGCAGTACCCACAGTACCCTCTGTCTGTGCTGCAGCACCCACAGTACCCTCTCTCTCTGTGCTGCAGCACCCACAGTACCCTCTCTCGCTCTGCTGCAGTACCCACAGTACTCTCTCTCTGTGCTGCAGTACCCACAGTACCCTCTCTCTCTCTGCTGCAGTACCCACAGTATCCTCTCTTTCTCTGCTGCAGTACCCACAGTACCCTCTCTCTCTGTGCTGCAGTACCCACAGTACCCTCTGTCTGTGCTGCAGTACCAACAGTACCCTCTCTCTGTGCTGCAGTACCCACAGTACCCTCTCTCTCTCTGCTGCAGCACCCACAGTACCCTCTCTCTCTGTGCTGCAGTACCCACAGTACCCTCTCTCTGTATGCTGCAGTACCCACAGTAAACTCTCTCTCTGCTGCAGTACCCGCAACTGTTCCTGAACTGTCCGCTTCGTCTGCGGTCGGGGCTGTTGCTGTATGGAGCTCCAGGGACTGGGAAGACGCTGCTGGCGGGGGTCGTTGCTAAGGAGTGTGGCCTCAACTTCATCAGCATCAAGGTATGATGGACGTACAGAGACACAGATGTATATGTCCACTGATCATCTCTTGTTAAAGAATCAAACTTGTTACATCACAATTGACCCTGCTTGCACTTTGCCCATGCTAAAAGTCCAGTACAATCACAGTAGATCTGTGAGAGTCCGGCAGTAAAGTAGCACACTCATATGGGAGAGGGCACCGGTGTCCAGTCATCTTAGGCACAGCCATTTGTTGCTTCCTTTAGGCATGGCAGAACCTTAGATTCTGGGTTCGAATCCCAGATTTGCCCTGTTTATGTTTCCAGGTTTCTCAGTACCGTTGATGGTTTCACCAAAGTGGGAAACCTCTGAAACCAAAATCTCATGGCCTTTCCTCCCACACCAAGCAGACACGCTACTTATCAAGTCAGGGGGGAACAGGTGGCTCAGTACTCTAAGGCACTGCGATTTGCAGTGCAGAGTTTCGTCCCCTTAGCACGCCAGGGTTGTGGGTTCTAATCCTGTGGTCGTGGGTTTTACCGAAGTGGTAAATGTCCGAGACCTGCATTACTTCGGGCTTTCCTCCCACATTAAGCTGACACGCTGTGATATAACTGGAATACTATTTAGAGCGGCCTTAACCCAACTCACTATCAAGTCGGCATAAAACACAATGAACTCACTAACTTGAGGTTAAGGCAAATAGTAATGTTTGTGTGGAAACACTTCATGCTTAATCTGTACATGTGTTTGTAATTCTCCTAGGGGCCGGAGTTACTCAGCAAGTACATTGGCGCCAGTGAGCAGGCAGTACGAGATCTCTTCACAAGGTAGGAACTGAGTCCTGGAATTTCTGGAATAGCAGAAGATTTCGTGTATGATTAAACTTTCCGTATTGGTTGGATCAAGGTTAATTATTGTTTCTAACTTGACACTCCGCCAACTCAGCACACACTAAACAGTATTTTATCATTAATGGTTATGTGCTGAATGTTTTAATAAAAATCATTGTTTACCTTGCTATTTCTGTAAATTGATAAATCATAACTGATTCAGTGCAGGATAAATCTAAGAATTTTGTCCCTGGCTTTGACAACTTTGAAGTAGATCTTCAAAGGAAAGTGTGCATTTTACACACTGTTTTTGTTTTTTTTATAGAAATGTCTCTTTCTTCTTCTGACTTTAATTTGTCGAATAAATCTGTAATCCAACTAAAAACAATATACAGTATTTCCTCTGTTAGACACCCAGGCATCTATTAATTTCACGCAACTATAGACCCAGCTTCTTTTCTGTTTAATGCTGTTCAAATGGACTCTATCTGAGGTGGAGATATGGATGGTCGTTCTTGTTTGTTTCAGAGCTCAGAGTGCCAAGCCCTGTATTCTATTTTTTGATGAGTTTGACTCCATTGCACCAAGGTAAGAAGCCCTTTGTTGTTTTGTATAGATAAGATACCCTGGGGATTAGAGAGTAGTAAGGTAAGATACCCCGTGGGGAATAGAGAGTAGAAAGGTAATATACCCCGTGGGGATTAGAGAGTAGAAAGGTAATATGCCCAGTGAGGATTAGAGAGTAGAAAGGTGAGATACCCTGTTGGGATTAGAGAGTAGAAAGGTAAGATAACATTGGGATTAGAGAGTAGAAAGGTAAGATACCCTGTGAGGATTAGAGAGTAGAAAGGTGAGATACCCTGTGGGGATAAGAGAGTAGAAAGGTAAGATACCCCATTGGGATCAGAGAGTAGAAAGGTAAGATACCCCGTGGGGATCAGAGAGTAGAAAGGTAAGATACCCCATGGTGATTAGAGAGTAGAAAGGTAAGATAACCCTGTGGGGATTAGAGAGTAGAAAGGTAAGACACCCCATGGTGATTAGAGAGTAGAAAGGTAAGATACCCCGTGGGGATTAGAGAGTAGAAAGGTAAGATAACCCTGTGGGGATTAGAGAGTAGAAAGGTAAGACACCCCATGGTGATTAGAGAGTAGAAAGGTAAGATACCCCGTGGGGATTAGAGAGTAGAAAGGTAAGATACCCCATGGGGATTAGAGAGTAGAAAGGTAAGATACCCCGTGGGGATTAGAGAGTAGAAAGGTAAGATACCCCATGGGGATTAGAGAGTAGAAAGGTAAGATACCCAATGGGGATTAGAGAGTAGAAAGGTAAGATACCCCATGGTGATTAGAGAGTAGATAGGTAAGATACCCCATGGGGGTTAGAGAGTAGAAAGGACCTGTAGGAGTACTAGGACCTGATCATGTTCGCTCAATCATGTGACGTGATGGACTTAGTGTCAGTGCACCCTGATGGCATGGGTTGCTGCTGTAGCTATTGACCACCAGGTTGCCTGAGTTCACTATGTATGAGGGGGCAGGGGTGGCCCACTCGTCTAAGGTGCCGCGATTCACTGTGCAGAGTTGCGTCCCTTGGGCGTGCCAGAAACCTATGATTTTTGGTTCGAATCCCGGTTCGCCCCAATTATATTTCTAAGTTTGTCAGCACCATACCCGTGCTCGTGAGTTTGACCGAAGTGGTAAATGTCTGAGACCTGCATCACTTCGGGCTTTCCTCCCACATTAAGCTGACACGCCGCGATATAACTGGAATACTGTTAAAAGCGGCGTTAAACCAAACTCACTCACTCACTCACTCACTCTCTCATTATGTATGAACTCATGGCTGAGACATTGCTGACTATGGTGTAACAATATTCAATCATATTTACACCAGAGGGAAATTTTCCCAATATTTTGATTTGTCATAATATAAATGTTAATTATCAGTGCTGACATACTTATGGATATTCCATATGGAAAAAACATCTTTTCTCAGCATTTCTATAGATCATGGTGAAATTTTAGGCTGTTTATGATGTAGGTGAAAACTCCTCTCACCTGAAGGACGCCTTCGTGGCTGGGTATAGTTTCTCTGATACCTGGGTCAGTCGCTGTTTGCTGTGAGACGCGTGAAGACGCGGGCTAGAATAGCAGCAACCCATGCTTGCCGTATAAGGTGACTACCCTTGTCGTAAGAGGCCACTAATGGGATCAGGTGGTCAGGCTTGCTGACTTGGTTGATGCATGTCATCGACCCAAATTGCGTGGATCGATGCTCATCGATTGTCTGCTCCAGACTTGATTATTGATAGACTGCCATCATATAGCTAGAATATTGCTGAGTATGGCGTTAAACAACAAACAAACAAACGAAGTGTTCTTTGTGCTTAGATTTAAGAGATTATCTGGAACCAGACCTTGATTCCTTGTTTAAATGTAGAGACTACAACATAAAGAGGGTTTTTTCGGGGTGATGGAAAAACAAGGTGTATACAATTCTGTGAAGTATTGATGATGATCGATGCCCTGTTCCAGACGAGGACATGACAGTACCGGAGTGACGGACCGCGTCGTCAACCAGCTGCTGACACAGCTGGACGGAGTCGAAGGCTTGGAAGGTACAGTGCCTGTCTTCACATTGTTGTAGGGGCGGTCGGGTAGCCTAGTGGTTAAAGTGGTCCCTCGTCACGCCGAAGACCCGGGTTCGAATCCTGACACTCACATTGTTGTAGGGGCGGTCGGGTACCCTAGTGATTAAAGTGTTCGCTCGTCACGCCGAAGACCTGGGTTCGAAATCCCAACACTCACATTGTTGTAGGGGCGGTCGGGTAGCCTAGTGGTTAAAGCGTTTGCTCGTCACGCCGAAGACTCGGGTTCGAATCCCGACACTCACATTGTTGTAGGGGCGGTCGGGTAGCCTAGTGGTTAAAGTGTTTGCTCGTCACGCCGAAGACCCGGGTTCGAATCCCACCACACACATTGTTGAAGGGGCGGTCGGGTAGCCTAGTGGTTAAAGCGTTTGCTCGTCACGCCGAAGACCCGGGTTCGATTCCCGACACTCACATTGTTGTAGGGGCGGTCGGGTAGCCTAGTGGTTAAAGTGTTTGCTCGTCACGCCGAAGACCCGGGTTCGAATCCCACCACACACATTGTTGTAGGGGCGGTCGGGTAGCCTAGTGGTTAAAGCGTTCGCTCGTCACGCCGAAGAGCAGGGTTCGATTCCCGACACTCACATTGTTGTAGGGGCGGTCGGGTAGCCTAGTGGTTAAAGCATTCGCTCGTCACGCCGAAGACCCGGGTTCGAATCCTGACACTCACATTGTTGTAGGGGCGGTCGGGCAACCTAGTGATTAAAGTGTTCGCTCGTCAAGCCGAAGACCCGGGTTCGAAATCCCAACACTCACATTGTTGTAGGGGCGGTCGGGTAGCCTAGTGGTTAAAGCGTTCGCTCGTCACGCCGAAGACTCGGGTTCGAATCCCGACACTCACATTGTTGTAGGGGCGGTCGGGTAGCCTAGTGGTTAAAGTGTTTGCTCGTCACGCCGAAGACCCGGGTTCGAATCCCACCACACACATTGTTGTAGGGGCGGTCAGGTAGCCTAGTGGTTAAAGCGTTCGCTCGTCACGCCGAAGACCCGGGTTCGATTCCCAACACTCACATTGTTGTAGGGGCGGTCGGGTAGCCTAGTGGTTAAAGCATTCGCTCGTTACGCCGAAGACCCGGGTTCGAATCCTGACACTCACATTGTTGTAGGGGCGGTCGAGTAGCCTAGTGGTTAAAGTGTTTGCTCGTCACGCCGAAGACCCGGGTTCGAATCCCACCACACACATTGTTGTAGGGGCGGTCGGGTAGCCTAGTGGTTAAAGCGTTCGCTCGTCACGCCGAAGACCCGGGTTCAATTCCTGACACTCATATTGTTGTAGGGGCGGTCGGGTAGCCTAGTGGTTAAAGCATTCGCTCGTCACGCCGAAGACCCGGGTTCGAATCCTGACACTCACATTGTTGTAGGGGCGGTCGGGTACCCTAGTGATTAAAGTGTTCCTCACTCACATTGTTGTAAACAGTTCCAGGATACAAGAGTCAAGTTAGCTGATGTCGTGGCTCCTTGTGCGTTGTCTGTCTAACTAACCTGCCACCATGTTACCTTGAATTATTTGTACACTTTGGTGGGGCAATGTCCAAAAATAGGTTTCTAAATATGGTTTTCCATGAAAAAAACTTGGCTGGAACTGAAATGGTTCAGACATCATTAGTAGAGGCTATCAGTAGGATTGTCTAAGTTTCACCACCCTACATCTTTCAACGAAAATATTGGAACAACGTTCAAGCAGGCCCAATCTGTCAATGGATGGCAAGATGTTGTCAATTTGACAACGCTGTCTTCAGTAACCCATGCTTGCCTTAAAAGGCAACGAACAGGATCAGGTGGTCAGGCTCGGTGATTTGGTTGATGCATGTCATCGTATCCCAATTGCGTGGATTGATGCTCATGACATCAGTTACTGGATTGTCTTGTCCAGACTCGATTATTTACAGACCACCGTCATAGAGCTGGAATATTGCTGAGTGCGGCGTTAACCAAACAAACAAACAAACAAACACAAAACAGTTACCACAGGGTATGATTTCATTCTGTTTTACCACCTGCACCAGGTGCAACCAAGTACATTAATCAGGTTGCACAACCAAATATTGGCTGCACCAGTTTATCATAAATTGGAACACTGTATTTTCAGTTATTTTGAATATCAAATAAAATAAACTTGCGACTGTGCTCTCGTACTTTTTTTGGTTAATCTGTATATGGCTTTTCACATCATGATATCCAGTAAACAGACTTAAACAGAAGTTTCAAAGTGGCTGTTTGATGTGAATGTACCCTCAGGAGTGACTTCTAATGGTAATTGTGAAGAATTAGTTCTGCAAGTCTACTGCATTCAGATCTCCTGTGTATTTCACTAATTTCATGAACTTTTGTTTTCTGGATTTGAAAAGATTTGCAGCAAGTTCTAAAACTTTTTTTAAAGTTTTCCACTTATATCAAACATAACAGCTGCCGTGCACTTGTGGTAGGAAATGTTACCTGCACTGGGTGCAACCTGGCAATACAAGTTACCTGCACTAGCAATGTTTTACCTGCACTGGTGCAGCTTGGATGAGGTGAAATCGATCCCTGTATTAGTTGGCTGGTCAAAACCAAAGCAGACATCGCTTCAGCTCATGAGGGTAGGGACCTTCAGGACTTTAAAGTGGGGTCTCTGACCGTCTATTTAAACACATGACCTTGACCCTGTGATCACTGATGTGTGCAGTTGAAATACAGTTGCACTTTTATGTGCATTTATCTATCTTCTCGGGTACTGCTTGCCTGACAACTGAAAAGTGCCATGTTCCTTCTTATGACATACCTTGATTTTTTTGTGTCACCCTTGAAAAACCTTGAAAATCATCAAAATAGCTTGAAAAGCCTTGACAATCTCTAAAATCCCTGGAAAAGCCTTTAAAATTACCAAAATAGCCGGAACAGCCTTGAAAATCACCAAAATAACCAGAAAAGTCTTGAATATCACCGAAATAGCCAGAAAAGCCTTGAATATCACAGCTGGAACAGGATTGAATTTGTACAGAAGGCCATATGCTTATACTCATGCTGCTCTTTAGGCCTTATGACTAATATGTAGTGTGTTGGATTTAAAAATATATTCACAGACTAACCCAACTAAAAAAGCCTTGAAAATAACAGTTGAAAATTGAAAGGCCTTTAAATTTTCTGTTCCATATATATATATATTTGGCAAGGTTGACGGAATGCCCGTTTATAATTTCAAAATAAGTTGCTGATTTGCTATTTGAATACGCAGGGTTACTTCACAATATTTTGATGATACCCGCAAGTTTTATTTTTGTAGATTACCTGTAATGTTCGTTGCGTATGCGATAAACTTGGGTTTTATTTTACTGCGTATTTCTGCATTTCCGATGCGTATTTTACGCAGATACGCAGCTTATCTGGAGCTCTGTATGTACATCTGTATGAACCATGTCCATGTTAAGCTGCAGCATGGGATCTCAGTGGGCAGACACTAGACAACTGGATTAGGACAAGCAGACACACATGGATGCAGGTCGCTTTATGAGTGCAATAACCATGGACATGAAGTGACACCTCACCCATTGTTTCTAAGTGTGCCGTTATGATGTTAACCATGCCGTTTCCCCTTGGCCAGGTGTGTACGTGCTCGCAGCCACAAGTCGGCCAGACCTCTTGGACCCTGCACTGCTTCGACCGGGTAGACTGGACAAGTGTCTCAACTGTGGGCTGCCCAATGAGGTAGGTCAAGGGAGGTCATGGGAGGTCGTCAGGTCGTGCACAAGAGACCTGACTAGTGGTTTGTCAGTGGGGATGGTCATGTAACTCACATTGTGTCGTATAAGCGAGGCCTCATTCTGAACCTGTCGCATTACTTCATTCAAACACAATTTTACACCATATTCCATCTTGGGTCGCAAAACCAGAAAATCATTCCTGTCACTTGTGATTGCAAAACCACCAACCTTACCTGCAACAACTGATACGTCGGTGAAATTGTGCAATCAGTAGGTATTAGGCTAAAAAAATAAGTCTTGGTTCTCAGGCACTGCCCACTACATCATAAAGTTCATTGCATTTTGTTTTTGTTTCCATTTTCTATTTTTTTTTGTGCATTGTGTTTAAGTATTAGGATTTTTATATTTTTGGGGAAAATGGAAATAAAAACAAAACGTGCGGCAGACTTTATGATAATGCGGGCTGTGCCTGAGAACCAAGACTATTATTTTTTTAGCCTTAGATTGTTTAGGTTTCCACATGACGTCATTGGTCTCATGAGTAACATCACAAATGATCAACTCCACAGGCTCCAATGTGTACAAAATACAGCAGCACGTAATGTCACGAAGACATCAAACTGGACTCCAGTAACACCTGCTCTGATGTCGCTGCAGTGGTTACCACTTAAAGCCAGAATTGAATTCAAAATTCTAACACTGGCCTATAAATGCTACATGGAAACAGCCCCATTATATCTCATCGAACTACTGCCTAAATACAAGCCTTCCAGATCTCTCCGTTCTCAGAATAACCACCTGTTACAAGTCCCAGAAACCCGTCTCAAAACCTTTGGTCAGAGATCTTTCCAGTTCTGTGCTTCCTCGCTATGGAACAAACTACCATCTGATCTTAAGCTATCGCCATCGCTTTCATCCTTTAAGGCTCATCTGTACTCCCCTTTCATTAGCATTTTTTGCTAAAACTATGTAGCGCCATGAGCATTAACGTGGTGAATGGAATCTGGCGCAGTATAAATGGACTTGTTGTTGTTGTTGTTGTTGTTGTTACCATGACATCACAATCAATGACGTCAATAATTTCTCTGCCACTGGAGCTGGTCAGCTATAGCTTTTACACTCAAGACTCTAAAAAATTGGAAGTAGGATTTTGGATTATAAATGGAAGATGACCAAAGCTTGTGACTTTTGTCAACTGGTGTTGATATATTTGATATCAAAAGACACAAGGGGGATTCTCTGTTTATATTGCGATAATCCATAACGATATCACAATACATTTAACTTGCAATACTTATCCTTATGCTTAAATCTATTTTCAGAGTGAGCGAGTCGAGATTCTGAAAAGCCTGACAAGAAAAATGACACTGGCTGACGATGTGAACTTTACGACTATTTCCAAACAAGCTGAGTATTTCACCGGGGCGGACTTCAAAGCCCTGCTCTACAATGCTCAGCTTAAGGCTATCCACGAAGCCACATACACCAACTCCCCGAGAGACTCCCCTCGGTCAGCCAGCTTGCACACACCAGACAACAAGTCAAAGGGAGGCAACTCTTTCAGCTTTGACGTCCAGCCTGGCTTCGAGAAGACGATTGTAAATGACTCGTTCAACAAGACCGTTCTTAGCCCAGTGAATGAGGAGAAGGGTTTTGTTAAGGCGGTGTCGTTCAGCGCGGAGAGAGCAGCGTCTGGGAAGGTTGGTGTGAAGGATGTTCCGAGGAGGAAGAAGTCCAGCAAGTTGTTGCCCAGTGTGACGGGGGCGGCGGACATTACGCCCATGCAGCGGGTGACGTTCATCCCCAAGTTGGAGGACGGGCCTGTCGACCTGGTTCAGGAGGACGAGGACAAGATGTTGACCATGGTGAGTGAGGGAGGGAGGATGGTAGGAGGGACGAAGAAGCGTATTAGTGAGTGATGGATGAGGGAGTGAGGCATGGAGGGGGATGGAAGGAGGTACGAAGAGGTGTATTAGTGAGTGATGGATGAGGGAGTGAGGCATGGAGGAGGATGGAAGGAGGTACGAAGAGGTGTATTAGTGAGTGATGGATGAGGGAGTGAGGCATGGAGGGGGATGGAAGGAGGGACGAAGAAGCCTATTAGTGAGTGATGGATGAGGGAGTGAGGCATGGAGGAGGATGGAAGGAGGTACGAAGAGGTGTATTAGTGAGTGATGGATGAGGGAGTGAGGCATGGAGGGGGATGGAAGGAGGGACGAAGAAGCGTATTATTGAGTAAGGGAGGGAAGGATGAGTGAGTAAGGGGATGATGAGCAAGGGAGTGAGTGAAGGATGAGTGCATGAAAAATGAGTTTAGTGGGAGGATGAGTAATTGATTGAGTGAGCGAGCGATGTGTGTGACGAGGGATGGAGGGTGGGAAAGTGAGGGAGTGAAGAGACACCAACATCTAAGAATTGGTTGCTGAAGGTACCTGACTATAGAGAGGACCAGTGATTGAGACATGGCAGCGTCAGAGGCTGGGTTACAAGGTACTGGAAGGCATAATATATTGGTTCATCTCTGTAAAGTGGTGTTAACTCCAGCGTCACTTAACTGCCTCCATCACTTTACTGTCAGCATCACTTAACTGCCAGCATCACTTAACTGCCGGCATCACTTAACTGCCGGCATCACTTAACTGCCAGCATCACTTAACTGCCGGCATCACTTAACTGCCTCCATCACTTTACTGTCAGCATCACTTAACTGCCGGCATCACTTAACTGCCGGCATCACTTAACTGCCAGCATCACTTAACTGCCAGCATCACTTAACTGCCGGCATCACTTAACTGCCGGCATCACTTAACTGCCAGCATCACTTAACTGCCAGTATCACTTCACTGCCAGCATCACTGCACAGCAGTCGGTGACTGAGATGGGTGCACAGTTGAGTCAGAAAATCAAGATGGTTACCGATTGCATACTGTTTAGGTTTTGTCATTGTTGGTCTTGCCAGACCAAGGTTAAGAGAGGCTGGCCGTGAGGTATGATCCATTTCATCCATTTCATTAAGCTATTAATCAAGATCTTGTAGGTAATCAGTAACTGTGAGACCAAGACAGATTTAACTTGGGACAGTGTGACCAAGGTGGCTATGATATGTTCAGCTGTTATTCAAGTTAACTAACAAAAGTACTGTGAGGCTCTGCAGCCAGCTGTCTTCTCCAGCATCCACTGATAATGGAGAATGACTGGACACAGCATCAGAAGCAGGAGTAAAATATCCCCTGTCAGACTGTGGGGCCTCAACACTCGCTGATGTGTCTGCAGCATCAGAATTGTTGCATGGTAGGACAGGAAGAAGAAATACATATCTAGTTAAGGAAGAGAATATATGGATGTCAGCTTCTTTATTATGAGGAACACAATGTTTCGGAGTATATACTTACTCCTTCATCAGGTGAATGAATGCCATGAGACAGAGAGCATATATATGTACATGTAAGGACAACAGAATTAATAAGATGTTGTCCTTACATGTACATATATATGCTCTTTGCCTCATGGCATTCATTCACCTGATGAAGAAGTAAGTGTATACTCCGAAACGTTGTGTTCCTTATAATAAAGAAGTTGACATCCATATATTCTCTTCCTTACGTGTATCACTTCTAAATGCCTTTCAAAGACCTGATACATATGTAGTTGTTAGGGCTGCATTGACCTGGATTTTGTATTGCAATATATTGCCATACTTTAACCTGTATTGTGATATGTATTGCAATATATTGCCAATTTACATTTTCATGAGTTAATCAGAGTTATACCATGTATTAATCTCAGATACCATCAAGCTCCTTCCCAGCACGTGACACCTTCGTTATACTCTTAGGAAAGAGAGCTCCCCGGATGGGCTATCGCTGAGAGGAGCTTGATAGTCGCGATGTGTACACGCTAATTGATAAAAAGATTGTCAGAGGCAATTTGTATCAGAAAGATACTATTTTCCATCTCCATAATGATTAGGAACACATAAATATACTTACCTATATTTGCCCCAATATATTGCAACATCTACAAACGTATCGCAATACGCATTGCTGAAGATTTGCACCACAATATACCGGTGTACCGGTAATACTGCACAACCTTACTAGTGTTGTTTCATGAATTTCTGTGTGTTGTTTCATGAAAGACCAGGTGTGTTGTTTCATGAATGTCCAGGTGTGTTGTTTCATGAATGTCCAGGTGTGTTGTTTCATGAATGTCCAGGTGTGTTGTTTCATGAATTTCTGTGTGTTGTTTGATGAAAGACCAGGTGAGTTGTTTCATGAATGTCCAGGTGTGTTGTCTCATGAAAGACCAGGTGTGTTGTTTCATGAAAGACCAGGTGGGTTGTTTCATGAAAGACCAGGTGTGTTGTTTCATGAATGTCCAGGTGTGTTGTTTCATGAATGTCCAGGTGTGTTGTTTCATGAATGTCCAGGTGTGTTGTTTCATGAATGTCCAGGTGTGTTGTTTCATGAAAGACCAGGTGTGTTGTTTCATGAATGTCCAGGTGTGTTGTTTCATGAAAGACCATGTGTGTTGTTTCATGAATGTCCAGGTGTGTTGTTTCATGAAAGACCAGGTGTGTTGTTTCATGAATGTCCAGGTGTGTTGTTTCATGAATGTCCAGGTGTGTTGTTTCATGAATGTCCAGGTGTGTTGTTTCATGAAAGTCTAGATGTTGTTTCATGAATGTCCGGATGTGTTGTTTCATGAAAGTCTAGATGTTGTTTCATGAATGTCCAGGTGTGTTGTTTCATGAAAGACCAGGTGTTTTGTTTCATGAATGTCCAGGTGTGTTGTTTCATGAATGTCCAGGTGTGTTGTTTCATGAAAGTCTAGATGTTGTTTCATGAATGTCCAGGTGTGTTGTTTCATGAAAGTCTAGATGTTGTTTCATGAATGTCAAGGTGTGTTGTTTATTGAAAGTCTAGATGTTGTTTCATGAATGTCAAGGTGTGTTGTTTCATGAATGTCCAGGTGTGTTGTTTCATGAAAGACCAGGTGTGTTGTTTCATGAATGTCCAGGTGTGTTGTTTCGTGAAAGACCAGGTGTGTTGTTTCATGAAAGACCAGGTGTTTTTTTTCATGAATGTCCAGGTGTGTTGTTTTATGAAAGACCAGGTGAGTTTCATGAATGTCCAGATGTGTTGTTTCATGAAAGACCAGATGTGTTGTTTCATGAATGTCCAGGTGTGTTGTTTCATGAATGTCCGGGTGTGTTGTTTTATGAATGTCCCGATGTATTGTTTCATGAACGTCCAGGTGTGTTGTTTCATGATAGACCAGGTGTGTTGTTTCATGAAAGTCCAGGTGTTGTTTCATGAATGTCCAGGTGTGTTGTTTCATGAAAGTCTAGATGTTGTTTCATGAACGTCCAGGTGTGTTGTTTCATGAATGTCCAGGTGTGTTGTTTCATGAATGTCCAGGTTTGTTGTTTTATGAATGTCCAGGTGTGTTGTTTCATGAATGTCCAGGTGTGTTGTTTCATGAAAGACCAGGTGTGTTGTTTCATGAATGTCCAGGTGTGTTGTTTCATGAATGTCCAGGTGAGATGTTTCATGAATGTCCAGGTGTGTTGTTTCATGAAAGTCTAGATGTTGTTTCATGAATTTTCAGTTGTGTTGTTTCATGAAAGTCTAGATGTTGTTTCATGAATGTCCAGGTGTGTTGTTTCATGAAAGTCTAGATGTTGTTTCATGAATGTCCAGGTGTGTTGTTTCATGAAAGTCTAGATGTTGTTTCATGAAAGTCTAGATGTTGTTTCATGAAAGTCCAGGTGTGTTGTTTCATGAATGTCCAGGTGTGTTGTTTCATGAATGTCCAGGTGTGTTGTTTCATGAAAGACCAGGTGTGTTGTTTCATGAATGTCCAGGTGTGTTGTTTCATGAATGTCCAGGTGTGTTGTTTCATGAATGTCCAAGTGTGTTGTTTCATGAATGTCCAGGTGAGATGTTTCATGAATGTCCAGGTGTGTTGTTTCATGAAAGTCTAGATGTTGTTTCATGAATGTCCAGGTGTGTTGTTTCATGAAAGTCTAGATGTTGTTTCATGAAAGTCTAGATGTTGTTTCATGAATGTCCAGGTGTGTTGTTTCATGAAAGACCAGGTGTGTTGTTTCATGAATGTCCAGGTGTGTTGTTTCATGAATGTCCAGGTGAGATGTTTAATGAATGTCCAGGTGTGTTGTTTCATGAAAGTCTAGATGTTGTTTCATGAATGTCCAGGTGTGTTGTTTCATGAAAGTGTAGATGTTGTTTCATGAATGTCCAGGTGTGTTGTTTCATGAAAGTCTAGATGTTGTTTCATGAAAGTCTAGATGTTGTTTCATGAATGTCCAGGTGTGTTGTTTCATGAATGTCCAGGTGTGTTGTTTCATGAATGTCCAGGTGTGTTGTTTCATGAAAGGCCAGGTGTGTTGTTTCATGAATGTCCAGGTGTGTTGTTCACAAATGTCTGGGTCTGCAAGGGAATTTGTCCAAAGCCTGGAAGCACATTGAAATAGATGGTGAAGAAAAAACTGTTGATCGTAGATCCTGTAAACGAGGGCTGTACAAAAAGATGGACTCAAGGACCTGACTCGAGTACCTAGGTTTAGCTGACATCTTATGATTTAATGACATTCAAGTATTTATCCACATCAAATCTGCCTTTTGTTTGTTTCCATTACTTGCAAAGTTGCAAACGCTAACAGTACACCAAATGTTATCATAAAAGACGATGTCGACATGCCACACACAGTAACACACTGCTGACTAAGTCATTGCTTGTCTATTGATTACTAGTAATTTGTTAGGGTAAGTTATTTTCTCCGACAGCGGCGGTCTGGGAGCCTAGTGGTTAAAGCGTTCGCTCATCACGCTGAAGACCCAGG